GTTTAGCACCTGCACAGATTTTTCTCTTTTCTGTTTTTTTATGCTTTTTGTCGTATCCAGCAGCCTAATATGCTGTGGTATCTCTTATTTTGAAATTATCTACAGTGTGTTCTGTTATCATTGCGTCATGTATCTAAATTTATGTGCTCCATGTCACTGTGTTTTAGGTTCCCTATTGGGCTTCCTCTCAAGGGCTTTGTGAAGCAATGCTGCCCCCTGTCTGAACAAGACAAGAACACGTGTGTGCAGCAGAAGGTGTGTTCAAAAAGGAAGTGTGTCTGTACAAAAACTGGCAAGACAAATCAGAATATGGAAAATTGGAAATGTAGTTCAGTCAGGAGAGATTTTTTTTTGGAGTTTAGAGCATAATGAAAAGGAATAGTAGAAAATTATTTTGATGAGAAGACCCCATGATGACATGTATATTCAGAGTGTAGAGATGCAGTTAGTTCAGGAATATTGCCACAGACTGGAGGGTCACATCTTGTCATCCTGAAAAGATAACTGACAACAGCAGATAGAAGAACTGTTATAGATTTGACAGCAACAACATGATTGGTTGGGGCGTCGGTGGCTTAGTGGATAGAGCAGGCGCCCCATGTATAAGGCTGTTGCCGCAGCGGCCTGGGTTCGACTCCAGCCTGTGGCCCTTTGCAGCATGTCACGCAGTATGTTTTCTGGTTGTCCATCTCATTCTTGTGAACACAATATCTCTACAAAGCCTTGACGGAGTTTCCTTAAATTTGGCACAAACGTCCACTTGAACTCGAGAATGAACTGATTAGGTGTTCAAAGGTCACTGTGACCTCACAACTCAAGAATTCATACACTAATGATGGCATAATTTCCTACACGTCTAATAGGATAAAATGATGAAATGATGACTTCGTTGTGACATCATAATGCAAAAACACTTTTCTGGCCCTTACTCAGCATCACATGTCAGGAACAGAAGTGGAGACATTTACTGAATTGGTGACGCTTATTAGCTTGGCACGTTATTAGCTGGTAACTAGCTTCTAGCAGTCCGACCACTCTGCAGAATGAAGGATGGCGAGGCGTTCAGGTGTTGCTCACTAACAATGGCTTTATTGCAGTCTTCACCACAAACAACAAACATGGCCTTCTCATGAGGTTAACAGCAGCCCTGAGCTCATCTAGACACTTATACTGACTATCATCACTATTTGCTGCATGCATCTTCACCATGACACCCTGAGAGCTGCTATCATCCATTAGTGATGTGTTGTTGGCGAACGAGCCGAGTCTTTGAACCGGCTCTTTGAAGTGAACGAGTGAACCGGCTCTTTAGAGTGAACGAGCCAGTTCCTAATTTCTTTTTTGCTTTAATTTACTCTGTATCCATTNGAACCGGCTCTTTGAAGTGAACGAGTGAACCGGCTCTTTAGAGTGAACGAGCCAGTTCCTAATTTCTTTTTTGCTTTAATTTACTCTGTATCCATTAATTTCAGATTATATGATGTTTTGAAGTTGAGAGAGACTAGTTTGTAAGGGAGAAAGACAGTGCAGCCGCTCACTCGTTCACTTCAAAGAGCCAGTTAAAAGACTCAGCTCGTTCAAGAACGTCACATCAATAACTAACCCACTATCTGCTAGCACTTACTTGTATTGACAGGCTTGTTGTTTATAAAGGCCGTTGCTATGGCTACACCAAACTTTATATCTGCAGAGTCTATTCTGGGTCCACGTTACAATATCACGTGATGCGATAAATCAGCAATGCGATTCGTCGTTGAACACACACAGCAAAAAACAAAAAAACAAAAACGGATGAACGAACCGCATCTTTGAACCGGCTCTTCAAAGTGAATGAGAGCCAAAGAACCGGCTCTCACCAGTGAATGAGAAATCCCATCACTGCTGCCCATACACACTGAAGCACACCATGAAGTACACGTCACACCCTCACAGGTTACCCACAAGGCCACCGCCCTTAAAGGGTAAAAAGGGTGAGCTGGTAACACATGTTTTTACAGACACGGATGTAAACTATAACTGTAACTTATTCTAGTCTAATGCTATTTCTCATTTTTTCTGACCCTGTTCTCTCCCTGAAATCAGCTTGAAGAAATGACAAAGAAATGTGCATCACTGAAGGCTACCCCTCCAGCTGTCCACCGCTGTTGCATCATGTCTTCACAAAAGGCTCTACCGTGTATTTCCAGAGTTGTCATGCGTGCCATCACCCAAGCCGACACCTTCTTACGCGAGAGGGGGAAGAAAAAGTGCCCTCTCTCCTAAACACTTGCGACCTTTGGCTGCTGAAGGCCATGCAGAGAAAATGGCAAGTGAGCATCCAATCATTGAACAGGAACAAATAGAGGTCTGTAAGAAAATGTGGACCAAAGTCTAGCTTCATCTACTGCCAGTGTTATTTGCATCTTTTCATCTGAGATCACATGAGAAGCAACGTTATCACAAGAATACATTTATAAAGAAAATGTCAAATACTTAGTTTGTAAAACAGACTGTTGTCTGAATCACTGTACCACTATTCTCTATAGGCTGCTCTTTACATATTTGATTATGGATGCGTTGTATTGATTCCTTTGGAGCTTCAAGATCACTTCTCTTCTTTTTATATATTGTTTTGTTGTTAAGATCATATCTACAAGTTCTAATAAAAACATTTTTCAATGTACTTGTGGTGGAGTTCTTACTGTACATACAAGGCCTGTGTTGTTAGCTTGTGAGCTGACATTTGATAAAACCCTCAAGATGATTAGGACTGTTTAGAAACTGAATATAATATGGAGTGAGATTAGGTGGATATTAGAATATTAAAAAATATTAAATATGTTATCTAATTATAAAAAATATAATAGTATTACTTATTGTATTAAAATATATTAAAATATTAATATTAACTTATTAAAATATTTAAAAAAAGACAAACTGGAGTTGAACAGATGTCAAAATATGACTTAAAAAGATTCCCGCATGCCTTTTTTATGTGTTCCGTTACATGATTTTGTCACCGTTATTTACACTATCCATTTGAATTTTGTGTTCCTCTTAACTCTGCAACACATAATTTATAATCAGATGTCTATGAAGCTTTTTAACTTCTGCCTTGGGTCTTTATTTGATTTGACTATGCATTTTTTATCATAAAAAATTCTGAAAGTTGTCTTGCGTCCCAGGACATCAACTGTTTCACATAAATAAACAGAAGTAGGCCTACAAAAATACAAAACATCACAAATATATAAACATAACAACCCCCAAAATGTAGGCTGACAACAAAACCATACAGTAATCTCAAAAATCGTACCAGACATTGCAAAAAGAAGATGTAGTGCAATAAAATAATCACTCCTATTACATTCAGTGTACAACCCAGGTACACTGAGACTACTTAGAAGACTCATTACATTTATTTGACTCACGACCATATCACATGTATGGAGTACAACATTACATACAGTAAAACAATGGCTAAATTACAACCAGTGTTACTTAAACAGAGGAAGCACATTCTTCAAAAAAGCACCTAGTTTATAGATTACTTTTGATTTAAGAGATTGTAATAATAAAATTAATTTAAACATAGATGGAAGGTCTGAATAATACTTGGGCAAATACCTTTCTCTGTAAGTCATTAAGCTTACGAAATATAATATTCACCTCCCACATGATTATCATCAGAGGGGTTGCAGATCCTCTGGTTTCTGTCCTGCCCTTTATATCTTCCACTGACTTTAGGAATTCTGGTGTAATTTACTCTAAAATTACAAATACCCTGTTTGTACTTTTGGTTTTCATGCAACATATATATCACATGATGTCATACTTTGTTACTTTTAACCACTTGATGTTAAACTTTCTCAGCCTGTTCAGTTGAGTTTGTGGGACTCTAAATCCTCTGTGTGATGGCAAAACTGATATTCTTCTAATAAAGTGTGATGGGTATTAGATGTAATTTAACCTACCAGAGACAACATTCTTTTGGTATACCCAGCTTAAAAACTTGACTCAAATGTTTGACTCATAGTCTTGAAGCAGATACGTAGCAGCCTTGCACATTTAAAAAACCTGCTGATCAGTCGGCATTACAAAATATTTTACTCTGTCATTACAAGAATACTTCACCCCTGAATATCTATCTTTTTGTATTTTTGTCACTTAAAAAAATATTTAAAATGATGCAGTGAGTCCATGTCAGCCATCATTGTACACGTACATTACATTATATATACTGTTACGTACACATACACTATATAATAATATGTAAACATATTATGTTCTTAACATGGACCCCAGGAAGAGTAACATTTTTTTGGTAACAACTAATGGGAATCCAAATAAATAATAAACACAAGCACACACACATTTCAACTATCTTTTGGACTATCTTTTGTTTTGAAAAGCTAGGTTATGTTTATAATTAAATGAATCAGTGACTGAACTAATACATGGATGTAATCAGGTAAAAAAACCCCAAAACAATAGGTTATTTCCATGACCTCGAAAAGTTCAACCAGTATCAGTGAACAATGTGTGAGCTACTCTCTCATTCAAAGCCAGAAACAAGAGAAGTATGACTAAAACTTGTGATGTCATGGGGTATAAAGCCACATAGACAATGAATGGGAGCCTGTTTTTTTGGATCCACAGAATGTTCGTTTTCTTTTTTGTACCCAAATGAGCATATACTCAGACCATTCACCTGGGTGCCGTCATTATTATCTGTGACATCTCCATGTCACAGATCCATCTTTTCATCACAAATTTGGGTTTTAGCACTCTAGTTTTTGGATTTGAGAGAGAGTGGTTCATTTTTTACAGTATTTTTGGGCTGTCTCAGACCTTGGAAATAACATGTAGAATTTTAGGTGTTTTTTTTTTTTGTTATCTACGTCAAAGTGTCCCGAATGACCTCACCTTTCACTTTTAAACTTGCTGTGTAAATAAATGAATAGGTGCTGGTAGAGTCAAACTGAAACTGTTCCCTTTCAGTCCACCGGGGGCGCTGTGGCGCTGCTGCGGCACGAGCATCAGAGCTCAACTGTCGGTGCTGTCTGTGTGATGAGAACAGTCAAATCGTAATGGCGACTGCTGGAACAGCAGACTCGGGATCAACAGCCCCGACAGGTATTGAGTCAATAAATCTTCCTCGTTTATTGTCTTTAAAAGAACATACAAACTGAGCTGTGTAACATTTTGTACCGACGATGATGGCGTGACGCGGTGACTGTGGCTTTCTCACGTCCCGGTTAGCCAGTTAGCTAGTTAGCATCGAGGCTTTTCAACCCTAACAAATGAACCAAGAAATGGCTAGCTTGTTTAGCCTTGTTGGTCAGTTGCTTTTAATCACACGAAGCTTTAGTTAGCGAGCCGGCAATATTTATATCGAATTACCTTTTTGGATAATTAATATGTAACGTTAAAGAAATAAATCCTGGCACCACGTTGGCTCAAGTGGCTTGTTTAGTTATCAAGCCGGCAATTTGGTTACCATTACACGGTGTCTGTATGCTAATGAGTTAGCTGGACGCAGGAGGATGGATATGAGATTTAATGTATAGGTGTATTATTTAAGTAAATGTATGCTACGCCCTAAGTGGCTGCTGTTTAAAATTGGTCTGTCCTTCTTTGGGAAACTACCCTGTTGTCCCCCCCAGCCTTCCTCGCCTGTTACACCCCTCCTTTTCCTCTGTCTAACAGGGTTGTGGTAAAGCTAGCAACAAATATCAGTTTTCCATTTGGTACCTTCACCACCAGCCCCCTATCATTTAATGTTGCTTTTCAGAGTTTCACAGTTGAGGTGATTTATTATCAAAACAAGTATTGATCTTATTGATTTCTTGCATTCTTGTAAGCATATACACAGGGTTGTCATGCTTAATAAACAGCCTTAATTCATTCTGCCGTCTCTGTTCAGCTTATCTAGGATGTCTAATTTCAGATCTTTGCATGGTGGATTGCTTATAAACTGGGCTATCTGAGTTTTCAGCGCCCACACAGATACAGATGGGTGGTGGGCAGTTTGAGTGCTTTCGAGGTGTCTTATTTTCCAGACAGAACAGATGATGGGGACATTGCATCTTGCTAATCCATTTAGTTGTGTGTCATTATTAACTTCCCCTGTGTAGCGAGGAGTTGCTCTTCCCGTGGTAACCACCCAGTCTGAATCAGTGAATAAAAATAGGGGCTTCAAAGCACTCTTGTGGCTCCCACATGGCTGAGAGCCTGAGAGTGTACAAATACAAGATACAGCTTTCAGTGAAATACACACACACACACACACACTCACAGGCACATGAGTGACAGTAACATAATGTGGATCTGGTATACCAGCCCTTATTGGCCTTGATTCCTCACCAGGGCAAGAATTAGTATATTTATGGAGTATTCACAGGCAGAAAATGATGTTAGGAGAGTGTGTGTGTCCCATATTATTGCCTTGTGTTGCCTGCAGGCTACATGTGATCAGGGCTGGCAGGGAGTTGTTGAGTATACAGAGAGGAACAGATGGTTTGCCTATTGTCGTAAGGCCTGACGCTGATGAGCTAAAGTCATTCTTAAGTAATTGGGTTGAGTTGGGTTGGGTAATTCCTTCCCTGAATCTGCTGCACATTGTGTGTCATTATCTAGTCCAACATTGACTCTTCGGATGAATTGCAGTGTGTTAAAATGAGGAATGTGGTCGATGATTATTTTCATTATAGATTCATCTGCTAATTATTTAATTGATTAATCAAGAGGGGTGTGAATCGCATGTTTTATCACAATACTATATTATAACAATTCTTTGAACATTGATGAAATATTTGCATATATAACAAAGTCTGCCATGATACAATTTTCATTTGATTCTGTTCAGGGGCCTGCGATAGATATGAGATGATATCAGTAAATATCCTCGTTATCTTTTTCTTGGTTTCATTCATATCTATCATTATTTGACTGTTCAGGACTGAGGTACGATTGGACAGAAATGGTGACACAGACATGCCATGGGAATTTCAAAATAAAGGTGTACCTTAAATATAATCATATGTATCGTTGTTTTCACTTTGCATCAATGATATTAGATCGCTGCTCATTGAATCAATATGTCAGTCCACATTGTATCATTACACCCCATCAGTCAATGAACTGTTTTGTCTTTAAGATAGCAGAAAATAGCAAAAAGTTACACATCATAATTTTCCATAGTCCAAGGCATCATCTTTTTTTTATCTGACCATGAATCACAAACCCAAAGATATCGTTTACTATCATATATGATAAAGGAAAAGCAAGATATTCTCAATATAAGAAGCTGGAGCTTGAAAATGTCAGGAATTTTTGCTTGAAAGGTGACAATATTATTTGTCTATAATGAAAATAGTTGCTGGTTAACTTTCTTATTGTCTTTATTGATCATTTCTGTAGGGCTGCAATAACTAATTTTTTTTTTTTATTGTTGATTAATGTGATTATTTTCTCGAATAAATGATAAGTTGTTTGGTTTATACAGTAACATGTCAGAGAATGGTGAAAAATCAATCTTTCCCAAAGCCCAAGATGACATCCTTAAATGTTTCGAATTGTTGAAAAGAAACAAGAAAATATTCCCATTTAAGAAGCTGGAATCAGAGAATTTTTACCTGTTTTCCCCTATAATAAAGGACTTAAACCAATTATTTGGTAACCTTTTTTTTTGGTGGTTAATTTAATAGTTAACAACTAATTAATCAGTCGACTAATTGTTTCAGCTCTTTATTTCAGCTCTACATAAAACACATTGTCTTGTACCTATATGGGGTCAGTAACTGTGTTCAGCACTGCTCATTTACCAGGTTAAGCCATTTAGGCTGACCATGTCCTGCTCCACAGATATTAGGACTCAGTTCTGGAGGAGAGCATTTCAGCGAGGTACTCGCATGGGTGTGCGTGAGTGTTTCTGTGTGCGTGAGCAGAAACTGCATGAGTAGTGATGGTATAGTGTGTCGTTTTACATAATAAGAGGGAATGTGGGCAGAATGACGCTCATTGTTTCCCGGAGGATTGCCGTGTGTCCCTCTTAACTGAGAAAAGATGCATGGCATTCAGCGAGTCTGCCTTATTATTAACACTCCCACCTTTCTTGGGTTCACTTACCAAGCATCGTTCTGGATTGAGACTGATGGGCGTAGATGAATTTTCACACACAGTGTTGTTACTACAGGTGTATAATCTTCCCAGCATCCTTTTGTATATATTGACCTGTGGCACTGCAGCATTGAAGTACATGTTGCCATTGGTTACAGGCTAGAGGTGCCTGCAGAGTGGGCGAGATAGTAGGTTTAAACAGCAAGTTTATGTAAGGGCATAGGAAATCATGTTGAGTGTTTCTTTTCTTTCAACTGTGTGCCCTTCTTCCAAAACTACTGTGTGCTGTGGTTGTTATCATGCTTACCCAGGAGGATAGATCCATGAGTCTGGGTCATGTATACAATTTCACTTCTTATCTTTGGTTATTGAGCCAGCAAGTTTTACACACACCCAGAGGTCTTTGCTTGGTGATGGCTGTAACATTCATGACATTTTCCTTACCTACAAGGAACTACTCCTGTGCTGATCAGCTGAGTTTGCTGAATGGCTTCATTTAACAAACAATATATTGTCATTAGCATTTGGAGTTAATGAAAATGATTGAAGCAAAGTTACTGTGAGACACAAAGTAGGCTGTTACAAAAAGAAGAAATTGTAGTTTTTTTGAAAGGAGGTTGTGGCTGTATACGCACATCTTTAGGGACCGGATAAATCTGGAGCAGCCAGCTCAGGGGAGAAGTAGTTCCAGTTCACATAGTGCTGGTGTATCAAGGGCAGCAGTTAGTTACTGTGGCCACATTTAGGTCTGGGCTCATCATTGGCCTCGTAGTCATCAGCCAGTGCTGGAAATATCCCTCCTAATTAACCAGCAAAGGCTTTCTTAAACAGTCATTAATAAATTCTTCCATGTTAAAAGATGCCAACTCAAAGTCCCTTAAAATTATTTCACGCATCACATTTACACTGACTGCATGGGTTGTCATTTACATGGGTTTAATTAGGGTCAGTCTGACCAAGGGAACCAACTGTTCCTTAAAGCTGTAGTTGGTAACTTTTATTAAAAAAAAAAGAAATTATTTATTTATTTTTTACATATTTGCTGACACTGTCACTTTATCCCTGCAACAGAAACTGAAAAAGTCATGTTACTGTGCCTATTCATATTGCTTTTAATGGCATTGCCACTTGCAGCTGTCAGTCATGTCAGTCACAGTTTATGAACTGCAGTCAAACTGCTGATGTAGGCAATGCTAATCAAATATGAATCAAGACTCTGTTACTGCATCGCCTGTTTCTTACCTCACATTTTTAGAAACATATGATCGTGTTAGTTTAGTTGTGAGATGAGAGCGTTTTTGACCCTGCTGCCTTTATAAAAACGGCAGCAAACGTTCTCATTTTACAGCCAAACAGTACACTAAAATAAGTTTCTCAAAACATTTGAGATGAGAAATTGGCAATGCAGTAACAGATAGGGTTGAGCACCAAAAAATTTTTTAAGGATGCCAACCGATTTACTTTGGTACCATTAAGTAGCGATTTGCGTTAAATTAATAGGTGCCAAATGTCGGTATCTGCGTGGGAACATCGGGTTCAGACGAGGCACCCTGAAGCCTGGAAGCCGGCCATGTTGGCTTCCCAGCGAGCCAGAACTATCGCTAGAGCGCTGAGTAGAGCGCTGATCTACTTACTTTTCTATATTGTTTTAGTAATACCCCAGTATCACTACTAGACAAGCAAACACTTATACACAGAAAGGCAGACAGACAGAGACAGAAGATTAGCTCAGGCAGTTTCAACAAATATGATAAAAGTTTTTTTTTTTTTATAGAAGTTATCAACTATGGCTTTAAAGCTTTAGCATTTAAGTGGTACATGCTGTAAATCCCAATTTAACTTGTTTTTCTGTTTTTAGGGACCAGTGGCATCCGAAAAATGGCCCCTTCAGAGGTAAAGACGTCAGACATGATCTCAGTGAATTAATGAAAATACCTCTGTATTATGTCAAGTCCCAGGTAAAGTAAATGTTGATCCAGTCAACTCTGAGGAGAGAAAGAGAACAGGTTTAGAGAGTTTGAGCGTCATCATCAGCTTGAGAGGAAAGAGACTGTCTTATGTTTATTACACAGGTGAAAACAGGTGCCTGACAAAGACATGTGGTCAATGGTTCATTGTATTGTTGTTTGTGCACACTGTCTGTACCAGGGCCAGTAAACGAACCAGTAATGCCACAGTGTTGATACTGTAACCTTTTACCTCTTGGCCAGGACTCCCTGGAAGAAGAGATCTTGTATCTCAGTGGGACCCTCCTGGCTACGTAAAAAATAAATAAATATATTTAAATGTGATAATTGAAATGCAACAGCTCAGGTTGTTGATAAAAGATAATGTCATAGAATGTTTAAAGTTTCGCTAGTTAAATGCTTTTAATGTGAAGCTGCAGCAGTAGGAAATGTTGAGTTTGCATTGGCAGCAATTTTATACAGTACTCTTTTGTCTTTTCTTGGGTAATCGGTAACACTGGTGTTGATACAAGTTTATTAACCAGTGGGAAAATTTCCTCAGCATGGCATCCTTAGTCACACATGGTTAAAATATGACAAACTGACATTGCCTTCACTCCCTTCTGTCTCCAAACAAGTTGACCCTTGCTGAGATTTTGGCAACTTGTCAGGATGAAGTTGTCATGTGAAGCTCTTTGTCTTCTATTTTCACAAGCACTCACCAGACCCTGAATGTTTCTCCCTCCGCCCCTCTCCTCAGATGCCTGGCTCTTCAGGCACACATCAGAGTATGAAGAAGACCATCGGACACCGGGGGGTAGAGACCACCACAGGAGAGACCACCTATAAAAAGGTTAGAACAGGCTGGGGGTCAGCAGCAGAGGTGAAATGTGGAAAAGGTGTTAGGTGTTTATATATTCTAAAATTAGTTTAGGAATTTCTTGCCGCCGGACATCTCAGGAATAGTGAGTGAAACAGCAGAAGTCACAGGGGTAAAATATTGTTTCAGTGCTTACTATCTTTTCCTCCCTGACTCCCCCAGACCACGTCGTCTGCCCTAAAAGGTGCAATCCAGCTGGGCATCACTCACACAGTTGGCAGCTTGAGCCAGAAGGCAGAGAGGGATGTTCTTATGCAGGATTTTGTGGTGGTCGAAAGCATCTTCTTCCCCAGGTTGGTAACAGAAGGTGTAGCTGAATAAACATTTAGATTTTGTGGTTTTTGATCTCATGTAGTTTAATAGCCTCTCTCTCTCTCATGTGTTTTCAGTGAAGGCAGTAATCTGACTCCTGCTCATCACTACAGTGACTTTCGCTTCAAGACCTATGCTCCTATTGCCTTTCGTTACTTCAGAGAACTGTTTGGCATTCGGCCAGATGACTACCTGGTCAGTACTTAAACGCAACACACACTGTCATGTTTCCAAGCTGCTCTCTTTATGAATTCAGTCACCGTTCCTTTACTTCTTTTGTAAAATGTTTTGGTTCAGTGGCTTTCACAACTATACTATGCATATGAAAAGTGTCTGAGACTCCAATGAGGCCTGAAGGGCTTTCTCGTTTACTGTAACAGCTTTTACAAGACAGATTTTTGTCCCTGTAGCTCCCTGTAGTTTTGTTCTCAAAAACTTAAGTGGCCTTTTTCCTGCAATAATAAGGCATTCCTTTTCCATGGCCACAAATTGTTGATGCTGTGGTCATGAATTCCTGCCATAACAGGTCTGAGTGAAGCCTTAATCCAAGCATTTTTTGTCACATTTCCTGCTTTGGGGGTTTTCCCCTTTTGACTCTCTCTATTCTCTGGCTGTTTTTTAAAGACAGCACTTCGGAATTTCAGACTCTAGCTGATATTAATCTGCTCCATATCTCTGTAGTCTGACTATGCCGACAGATTCATTTGGTGCAGTAAGGAGTCAGTAGCCATTTTTACAAAGTCCCTTCTTTATGCCGTCTTCGCATTTTTACACAACCAAACAACACCAGTGTGTGATTTTAGACAGCATACTGGCATCTTTGAAACAAAAGAGGTGTGATGGATGTGACATGTAACATAACAGCGTTGGCCACTAGTGTTACATATAACATACACATCAGCAGCACTTTATTAACAGCACCGACTGTATAACATGGCAATAACAATTCTTTACCATCCCTGTTACACAGTGGTTAATCTTGTCCTCTACTTGAGCTCCTGTACCTCATTGTTTTCCCAATTTGCAGACATTTTGGACCACTTTTCTTGTTATTGGCTGCTTTTTGAAGTCCTTTTTAGATAGGAACTGTGCAAATTTGCAGGAAAGCCCAATCAGTCTTTGTTCAGCATTGGCAGTATAAAAACAAAATCATGGAGTGTGGCAAAATGCCGCCTACCTACTTTTGTTTATACAGAATGCGCCTTTTTCGGGGCAAGGGGGGGCATGAGCAAGTAACAAAACATGTAGCTCAGCGTGTGATGTAAACAGTAATGTGGGAGGGAAGCAGCGGATGGTCAGTCCTTCAGTGATTCTCTCGTAAGTCGGCCCGTTCTTCACCGTCCCCGTCATCTGACAGTTAATGGCCTCTTCGTTTGTGAGGGCAAGGAGGGCACGCAATTCCATGTCTCCCCAGTTGCTCATCTTTACAGTGTCTGTCAGGTTTGCGTTTCCCTCTTGCTACTAGCTGCTCACTAATTCCTGCTATCAGCTGTTTCCTGTTTATCCACCGCCAGTGGCTCGCACATGCAGCTTCAACAGCCCCTCCCGTTGAGGAAGGCCGCCTTGGTCTGTTTAAACTAAAAGGGTTCCGCCAATATGTTTACCCTGCGAGGCGGAAAATTGGGCACTTTCGATCAACTCGCCAGTCCGGCTCTGTGTGTCTAAACGCTCACAGCTGGCCGGCAAAACGGCCCAACATTCGCGGAAAATCTGGCAGTGTAAAAGGGGCTTATGTCTCCCGGCAGTTTGTTGCACACACACAACACATCGTCAAAACATCACACCTGTCCTGTCCTTTTGGCTGTCCTTATTACACAGACATTGATTTAGCATTGCTAGCTTAAAGGCCAGACAACTCTGATCCCCCATTTCACGACTGCACCTTTAATACTGCATGGCGATGTGGAGCAACAGTGTGAAATTCCCACCTTGAGCAGGCATTGTAAAAGAGGCTAGTGTCAGAAGTCTGTCGTTTATATCAGGTGGCCTATGGTGATGCCTTTATTACGGTGTTAGTTCTGTCTCTGTACAGTACTGATATCAAGTCGTAGAGCTCCAGGTGTCCACAAACAATGGAGATTTTTTATTCTTTTATTTTTTATTTTTTATTCTCTGGAATCTCAACCAGATCTCAGTGTTGACAGGCTTTCACAACACAGCTACACATGAAGTTCTAGTGCAAGTTGAAAAAATTTGACTCCTGCAAATAGCGCAAAAATGGGGTGTTAGCTTCACCTGGTGCAAATTCCAGTTAATTCGTGTCTGTGCATATACTTTGTATGTAATCATGCCATGTGAGACATTTTGCTTCACTGTTAGAGTGAACACACCATAACTATTTTATACACCCAACCCCTGCATTTGGTTAAGAACTGCAGGTTTAGTTAAATTAGAGTACTGATTATCCCAAAGATGTTTGCTTTGTCTCAGTTTGACACTAATGCAGACTCCTCTTCCTCTCAAAGTATTCTCTGTGTAACGAGCCACTGATCGAGCTGTCTAACCCCGGGGCCAGCGGATCCCTCTTCTATGTCTCCAGTGATGATGAGTTCATTATCAAGACTGTTCAGCACAAAGAGGCAGAGTTCCTCCAGAAACTGCTGCCTGGATACTTCATGGTGAGCCTGACGAGTGAATACCACACAAAGTGGGAGCGTGCTCAATACGAGTGATAATTATTGCAGTAACTATAATTATCATGAGAGTAGGAGGCTTAAATGAGTGGGAGCTCTAATATTTTTTTCCTAATTTAAGCGTGTCGTATATCTCCTTTCTATAATCCTCTTCCCACACAGAACATAAACCAAAACAAGCGCACCCTGCTACCCAAGTTCTACGGACTGTATTGCGTTCAGGCAGGGGGCAAGAATATCCGTATTGTAGTGATGAACAATCTCCTGCCCCGGATCATCCCCATGCACCTCAAATACGACCTGAAGGGCTCCACCTATAAGAGACGAGCTTCCCCCAAGGAGAGAGAAAAGGCGGTTCCCATTTACAAAGACCTGGACTTCATCCAAGACCTGCCTGATGGTCTGCTGCTGGAAGCGGACAACTACAATGCCCTGTGCAAGACTATTCAGAGGGACTGCTTGGTGAGTCACAGAGACACTTGTTTTCCATTGACTTGATTCATTTTGTATTTAAGTGTCATGCATTGGAGCCTCTCAGTCCACATGGGATTACAGGACACATTCATGTGAATTGTTACAAGAAGCATAAGCCTATTAAAATTCCTAAACAAGCTGCGATCGTACACCTGCAGAATACATTATCATTGTGCCCTCACATAAAAGACACTGTGTTTTCCTCCAAAAAGATGCACAGAATCTGACTGCCTGAACATTAAGGGCCCTATTTAAATGATGTATAACACATAGTCTAAAGTGCATGGCACATTTAGTCCCTTAATTAATCATAAGTTGAATTAAACCAATCACAGCGTCATCTCTCATTCCCTTTAAAAGCCAGATGTGTCTGCACCCGCGGGCAGTAATGTCATTGCAGCAAATACTTACATGCAGACACACTAAAAACTGTAGTGATAAACTTGTCCATGCTCATTTTAGAGAATGCAATAATAGTTTTCTCATTAATGATAAATTATTTCACCCACTCGCAACCCATCTGCGCATCCCTGTGTGTGTGTAACAGGCAGAGTGTATGCATGTTGTGAACTTAGCTATGATGGTGCATCTTACTGTCTGAACTATTGAATAATGCGCCCTATACTGACTTTAGATGAGGTTTTTGTTGGTCAATGGTGCCTTCGCTTTCTCTCATTTTAAGACCAACACATCCATGAATACACAGATAGGTGCATGTACATTTGCTTCTTACATGATGTGGGTGCTGTGCGCGAAAATGGCAACTGCGTTGGTCTGAAATGAGCAATGAGAGTTGCGCTGCACTGTGTGCCGTTTTGTGCCGAATGTAAAATAAGACCCCAAGTCTTTTAATATCATTTCATAAAACAGTGTGAAGATATATGAAAGCCATTATAGATCCAAAGTTATTCTATGCATCTGATCTTTTGGATCTTTTTGATTCTTTGAGTCATCAAAAAAAGTATTTTATTTTTTTACTAATTACATAGTGGATATTTTTTACTCTTTGGGGTACCAACAAATGTAATAAAAACTCTTAAATTTCTGTGATATTCTGCAGGCAGCTTGACAGACTAAGCAGCAGGTGCGATAAGCTTCTTGGAAACAAAACACTAGTTCTTTGCTGTTTAACTCGCTGTTTTTTTTTTTTTACGGAGACGTCTATAATTTTCAGTTTGTTCCAAGGCGATTAGTCAGTGTTGTTAGACAGTGTTGTTTGTCACTCAGTGTTAAGCTCCATTATTGCTGGCATCACAGACAGTCTAGTGTTGCAGAGATGACTCAAGCTTGCATGACATTGTAAACTAATACTTTGAGGGATGATACCTTTTTTAAATTGCAGTTGTGGTGTATAATGTCGGTTTTCGGATTTGACAAAGCCAAACGAGTTATATAACAGAGGCTGTGTGTAATTTATTCATCAAAACATCTCTGTCCATTAGAGGCTAATCTGTCTTTGTGGTTGCTTTGTGGTCACCGTTACTTTGCTTCCAGAGCCCACTTAAGTTTACATCACAGAGGTATAAATCGAAGTCTCACCGCTCATTTATTATTGTCTCTGGTATCTCAATTACCATGACCGCTCTGTGTTGAGTTATTATCTTCTGTGTGTGTGTGTGTGTATACTATTATGTGAGATATGTGTCGCTGTCTAATTTGCTGCAGGTATGGCTTATGTATATCTCACTCTAATTTATGCCCAGGCCACACTGCCTGCTTAAGCAGTGTATATGCGTTGCAGAACCTCTTGCTTTTTATTTCAGGGCTTGTTTTAAGTGGTTAGAGCAGCCACATTGCCTGCATGAGCAGTAGTATTCTAGTACTATACTGAAAGCAGCAGAAAATTGAGTTCACTTTGATATCTGTTACTGTTGTTGAGAGTCTGTGGTGTTGTCTGGGAAACTGTATGTGTGATTTAAGACATGAGGGCTTGCTCCTGCTCATGTATTGTATTTCTGTTTCATGCAGCTCTTGCAGAGTTTCAAGATCATGGACTACAGTCTGTTGATGGGCATCCACAACATGGACCAGGCCAGTCGAGAGCGGGAGCGTAGCGGGGGCAACTCGGGCGACAGCGGGGGGTCGGAGGGAGCAGTGACCCCAGATCAGCGCCGGCCACAAGCTCAGAAAAGTCTGTACTGTACAGCCATGGAGTCCATTCAGGGCGAGGCTCGAGGGAAGGGAGTTCTGGATTCAGAAGATCAGTGAGTCTCATTCCTGAATTTAAACAAGTGTTTGTATTGAATCTGTGGCTAGAACATATAATGATCAGCTGCTGATCCTCTGGCCTTGTCCCTCCAGCATGGGCGGTATTCCATCTCGTAACAGTAAAGGAGAGAGGCTGCTGATCTACATTGGCATCATTGACATCCTCCAGTCCTACAGGTTTGTTCAGAGCAGCCAAATCAGCTACTTGTAAAAACATTGCTTTTGAATTCAAGCAAGATTCCCATCTACATAACCCATTTATGTAACCTCTTGTAAATACTTTTATTCTGTCTCATTATTTAGGTTTATTAAGAAGTTGGAGCACTCCTGGAAGGCTTTGGTCCATGATGGGGTAAGAGCCCATTTTTAGACATTTTCACTCATTAACTTAATTAAGATAAATTGCAGAGTATTGATAGTCGTGAGCACAAAAAAAGTAGTAGGTGCTGTTCTAAGACAGTTTTGCTTGCATATAGAGACATGAATATCTAATGGCTCTGTTTCTCTTTTACTACTTCAGGACACAGTGTCAGTTCACAGACCTGGCTTCTATGCAGATCGTTTCCAGCAATTTATGTGCAACACGGTGTTCAAGAAAATTCCACGTAAGTATGCATGTGTGTGTATTCTTAAATGTACTGAAGTTAAAGCAACACCACCCACAAAAAAAATCATTTGTATATCACTCACACTGTGTTTAAAAACAGTTAAACAGTTTACAGTTCTCACACAACTCCTGCAGTATAATCAAAGTCTAATTTATCCAGTCATATGCTCAGTGCCTCCCAAAGATGTGCATTTTTGCTAAACCTTACTGTTTAAAACACTTGTAATTCATGGCTGAAGTAGTCCTTTAATAGCCTGGTGCATTGACAGCATGGAAATCCCAGTGGTGAAAAGTCAAGGTGCATGTATTGAATATTTCCACTTTTCTTTCCTCCATCTTCTTCAGTAAAACCATCACCATCAAAGAAGAGTCGTGGTGGAGGTCAGGGAGGCCTTAGGAGGGCCCCCACCCTGGGAGCTCCCACCCCGCTCTCCCACGCAACAGGACAGTCGGTTGACTCCAGACTAGTCTACCACAGCCACTTCAAAAGCACAGATTCAGAGGCTGACTGTGGTAAGAACTGAGACGTCTAAAACAAAGTCACAAGAACATTAAGTTCTATTTTGTTGTCTTTCCTGTGCTCAGATTGGAGATAGTGGTGTTGGAATTTGGTTTCTTATTGTTCTCAGGCGTGCAGTTGGGTAGACCAGATCTTGTTCCGAGGACTCCACCTCTGGGAGAAAACCCTGCTGACTATGAGGCTAACCTGTCCACCTCGTCACTAGGCAGCACGGGAATTGCCTCCACTTCTCCCCCACTACGGTAAAGCATTATTTATTTATTTTTTTATTCTTTTCAAAAAACAAGAAACATGGAGCAGATCACTCTGAACACACAACATCCAAACCCACCCTGCCCCTCCCCAAGGCTGGCCTACATTTCCGTATTATAATAGGCACACATAGGCATTATATCACATTTCTTAAATGTCATATAGACATTATTAGTAGTCCAGGATGGTTGCCATACTTTATGGAATTCACTGACTGATCTGGTATATTTGAGCTCTACGGTAAAGCATGACCAAGATGATAATGCATGACCTTTATTCCTCCACCTCACTTTCACGCTTAATTTTCTCTGCTCTGACTTTTCTCCACAGGTCTGTGGGGGTGGAGGTCCACAAATCAGCAAACACAGAGTTTGACCACCACAGGTACAGAAGGCAGTGATAGGTCATAACATTACAGCCTCGCTAGACTCAAGTATTAATTGCCTTTTATTCAACAGACGAAACTTAATATGGTTTGAGATTTTACAAGGTCTATGTAAGTTTTGCAAAAAAGAACACACAGCATACGCAACACAAAGCTTCACACATTAGCACATCATAAATATGTGCTTGTCAGCTATGAAGACCATCAGTAAGAATACAAGGTCAGTGAGCACAGAGCTGAGCAGTTTTTAACAGACTTTTTAAGTTGCTTTTTAAAGTGCAGATAGAAGTGCAGCTCCTCACATCAGGCAGAGTGTTTTACAGGAACAGCTGATAGCTCTAATGCAGTGCAGCAAAATGGTATGTTACAGTGTTGTATAGGGGATATTCTTGAGGAGCTAATAGAAGTTGATGAGCACGAATCAACAAAGTCATATAGTGGAGGACTGGACAAACCATTTATAATTTTATACACCATAGAAATATGTATTTTATTAGGTCTATTAGTGTAAAAATAGGATATTGGGAGCACTCTCTTTTCCTACCAGCCTCCTAGCCTAGAAATAAGGACCACAGTTGAAATAGGTCATGTGATTTTTACTGGATAAAATTCAGTACTGTATGCACATTTGTGTGCTGTCTTTCAATTTATCAAATAAAATCAATCAATTCTCTCTTCCAGTTTGGGTGCAGAAGGTGCTGTAGATAATTCGGGCAACCTGTCTGGAAACGAAGACGTAATTTCACTCTCAGACATCATACCTGAGACCAACATCTGCTTTGTAAGTCCAAGCGATGACATCATGTTTCCATAATTGAAAATTAATTCTAATGTTATTGTTGCAGCAGCCAGTATTTGTTAGTTGTATATACCTTGGTACTGATGTTAGTTTCATCTTCACAGTAAAAAGTCACACGTGAAGACGAGGCATTTCTGGACAAGGTGAGGTGGGTGGAAGTAAGAGAGTGAAAGTCACGCATCCACCACGGACCCTCCGTTGCACCTCTGTTGTTCTCTCACCCGTACAGTATATACATGGACTGCTGGATGAAGCAGTGAGGTGCAGTGGAGGCTGTGACAGTGAAGAAAACAACAGTGGGAAGATCATGAAGAAGAAGGGTGTGCGGTAGGCTTTACTTTCCACAGCCATCGACATCCCAAAGCCCAGTTGTCTCTGATATACACCTGAATAAAAGGCTCACGACCCTGAATTTACAGCTCCCTATTAGATCTGGCAGCGTAACGTTGACTAAACAAAGATTTCTCTTCACGTTCAGAACATGAAGGATGCTTCGATGACATCACAAACAAAATGATTAGTTGTATATTGTTAAAAGCCTGCAAACACAGTCACCAGTGGATGGTGAAGGCAGTCAGACTATCCATGAAGAGTCAGTCATCATGTCCACTTTTCGCAGCATGAAGCGATTGTGAGATGACAGCATTTCAGCAAGAACACACACACACACACACACACACTTAAGAGCACATGAAGGGCAGAGCCTGTGTTTGTAGGAGTGAATATTAGCCTCTGTATTCATGCGAAGTCCAAGTGGGTTCACATTTCCGTGATTCACACTGTAGTGTTCCCATCTCCGCACATCCATTTCCCCCCTCGACACTCCTCATGAGCGGGGCACTCTGAGCTATCAACAGTCCCTGTTCGAATCAACACTTGCTCACTTGCTGCTGTTGACTCTGCAATTATGTATGCATTTCTTTTTACTGATCGTAGATGTACAGTATTTGTTTGAAATCGGGGAGGGGATGGGTTAAACCAGACCTATGCGGTCATTTTGTTTCACGTTTTGTCATAAGTTATTCTGCTGGAAGCCACGGCGGTGCGGCACAGGTCCATCTCGATCTTGCCACTGCTGAATGTACATTACAATGTTTTTTCTTATATAGAACGTGTCTTATTAACATGGCAGACCACATTTGTACAACCCTGAGAATCTCCCCCTCTGATGTGACCATATGTGCTATAAATGAACACAGAGAGAAGAGCTGTCGGCTGCATGGCCGGCCAGTAGATGCTGATAAATGAAGTCATGGTAATAAGCTAGTAGAGGAGTAATAATTTCCAGCAGCTACTGTCATTCGTCTGTCATGTCTGTGCCTTTACATGTTTGTCCCTTCCGTAACGTGATGGACTTTTTATTTTTACAGGTTAGTGTTGTAGTCACACAAAAAAACCTGCCTTATCACTACAGCTGAAGTCATCAAACTGCCATTTGTATGTCTGGACCAACAATCAGGGCTTCAAAGAATTTCAGATTTTAATGCAAACACTAGTACAATCCCTTTTGGTTACGTTGAGCGCTCAGTCGCTGTGGTTCATCAGCTCAGCTGATCCGTTCAACTGTCCCCATGTCAGACAATAAGGATGTCTGTCTCTTATTATTCATTTCTGCTGGTTACAGAAATGACCCCCGCCCACATCCACCCTTGGACCAATATTAACAACCACATGTATAACTAATATTTGTATGTTTTGTATGTAGTATTACTCAGCTTTTACTCAGCTGTTCATAATAATTATGCTTTGTTTTCACAGAATGTTTGTGTTTATGTTTAAGGCACTAAACAAGCTGCAGAGGTGGCTGGCAGAGACCCCCCCCCCGATATTTCTGATACAGACATTTGAATCACTACCAAGTGACTGTAGCAAAACTCAAGATTTTAGGTCCCAGACACACCAAATTCACATAAAGTGGCAACACCTTTGTCGCCTTTGTCTCAGCCAAAAAGTTGCACTTCAACACATCACAAACACTTCAGCTGGCAGCAAACTGCACGTACACACTGCTCTTGCATAAGAGGAAATAACTCCATACCAGCAGGCGGCAGTACTCTGTATTCGTCATTTACAAATGGAAACCAGAAGACAGACAGGATGCATTCAAGACGCTAGTTAGCCAGTTAGCACATTAAGGGGCTGTACACATGCCACGTCTTTAAATGCGAGGTCAGGCGTTGGGTGCAGCTTTTAAGAGCGCGGCGGCAGGTTGTCAACAAGCACAGTACTGTAGCCCGTCTACCTGAAATCCTGAGTGCAGAGCTGATCTTCTTCCTGGTGCTGTTTATAAGTGTGTAGGCCTATGGTCCGTGGGATAGATGTAAAGCTCTGGCAGCCCTGCAATAACATGATCAACTTTTCCATATTTACCACAGACTGATATTTACGGAAGAAGGGAAGGATATCTGTCGGCTGTGATTGGTTGTTCCTCGTCACGACACTTGGTGCGCGCTGCTGCGTTCCGAAAGTTGCTCGGTTTATCTCAGAGCACAGTAGCCGCGCCCCACAAAATAGACAACTGGTAAGGAGTATGCGTCACCCCTGGCGTTTGAGCGCGTCTGCCATGTGTCTATATTGAAAACAATGAATTTGAGGGTGCAAAAAACACGGCTTGTGTACAGCCCCCAACGAAATAAGCTCGCTCACGTCAAAAGAGGAAAGAATATTTACTGTGCAATAGCAAACAGTAACACAAACAAATAAGAATGGTTTCTCCAAAAGAGCTCAGTGCATAAAAACAAATCAAAACCGTCGTGACTTTTACCATTTGTTTACTTTCCTCACTTCCATTTGTCCTTTGTGCACTGAGCTGAACTGCCAATCAAAGTGATTTTATTCATTCATGGCTATTGACGAGTGCCAGTGAGCAGGACACCACAAACACATTGACCACATTGGTCAACGTTGGGCTGTTGGTGAGCGCCTGTCACCCTAGTTTTTGCTAGTATGGTGGTATGAAGTTATTTCCTCTCATGTAGGCACTGAAAGTACGTCCTAGTTGGCCATTGGCTACCATTTTTTCAGTGCGTTCAGTGCAACTTTTTGGCTGTGACACAGGCGATGTGGGGCGACGCAACAGTTGGCCTTCGTCGCCTCGACTTCTTTGATGTCTATTACTGTGTCTGGGCTCTTAGACATCATCTCATTTGAGGAAGTGCTGTCTATGTTTTGTAGGCACATTTGGTCTATGCAGCAGAGAGGGGAGAAGGGGAAATGTGAGTTTTGAACATAGAAAGGAAGGAAAACAACTCATGTCCATCAATGCACAGTTGAGGATTTAGGACTGAGTCTTTTGTAGTATAAGAAAGTTGCGGCACCAAAGAAAGGAGTGGAGAGTTCCTGCGATTCTTCAGGATCCAGTACATGAAAAAGAAATGAGGCACTCCTCGATACCTGCATGGACTGATAATGTTGTACATGGTAATAACACTGGGTCGACCTGTGTTTCTAAGGATCTATTGTTAAACTGGATGTTTTGTTTTGTTTGCTAAATCATTTCATGTCTGATAAGCTGTATCTGACATAAAACTTTTGTTTCTTTATGGAAGAATCGGTTTACTTTGTGGCCTGAGACATTTCAAGATTGAACTCCACATTCCTGTGAAATTCAAGTTAAATTTACTACAAATGTGGTAGCCCTCAGAGCGCATTACATACGACCCTTGTATAGGTGGGATGATGTACTTGAATTGTTTCTGGTATTATGCTGAAATGATTTCCGACAGATCAGTTTAAAGTTGTATTTAGTTGGATCAGAAGTCAAACAGCCACCAAAGAAAACACTCCTATAGATAAATTCTGTCTCATTAGAAAAATCCAGATTATATTTTGTGACACCTGGATTTTGATGATGTAACTTTTTTTTTTCTTTTTTGATGGGTGGTACTGTGTAATTGCAGATGCAGATCACTTCTGTTGCAGTTGTTATGTACTACACCATGGCACAAGAGAAACATCATCCAACGGTGCTTAAAGGGCGGTGCACTCAGCATAGACACTACAGTATATTTGAAGTAATGCAATATGAACCACAATCTGCCACCTTTCAGCTCTAAGAAGAATATTTATTGATATGGTTGATTGCTGCAGGCTGAGTTGATAAAAGTTGTATTATGTACTTTTTAGATGATTGTACGTATACTGTATACTGACAGAAGGATGTCTGAAACTTTATAGTGTGTGTTGCCTATGAAGGGGGACTATTTGACAATTTCACTTTTTATATTTCATGTTTAGATTGTGATATGACGGATATATTCGCTCCATGATTATTCTGGGTTGTTAATCTCCCACGCTTTTTCTACATGAATGTTTCACACGGCTCACGAGCCAACGTTGCTGGTTGTCCTACGATGCTTCGATTACTATATTTTTACTGTGTATAAAATGTGTATATGTACATAGGAGTCACGGAAATGCCTTCTCATGCAATATGTGCTGCCTGTCCCTCCTGCCATGTTTCAGTTATGTGGTGGTGATGTTTTCATGTCTGATTTTAAAGGATTAAACATATTTTCTAAATCTTGGTTTTGGCCCTTTTGTGTATGTGTATTAGACAACTATCTGTTGCGGGGTCGGTGGGGGCATAATGCTTTTTAAACAAGTCAGAATGCAACTATGCCCACGTCATTCACCATGCTCATACTCAGCTGCACTCTCTTCACTTTCAACCTCAGAGTGGACACATTCTGACTATTCCTCACATTTTATTCACATTTTGTTGGAAAACTTATTTTCTGGCCTGTCAGTTCATGTTAATGTTAGCTGTCGCTAGCACAGGAGGCGAAAGCATGTCTGCTCTCCCTGCATTAGGACAATTATCCAGGGGCGGTTGGGACAGTGTTGTCCATAGTTCCTACCTTGTTAAAAATTGACAAAATGTGGACACAAACAGGGTTTTCCTAATTCCTGGGTCTTCAGTGGGGGTCAGCGACCTGTAGAGCGTCGTCAGGGTTACTGCAAGGAGGTCACCAAATTATTGTTTTATCTCAAGTGTGCAGAAATTCATGTCACACTACTTGTTATGTGTAGGACTGCAGATGTAAATTAGTGTTTTGCTAAATCTGGTGCAACCATGTTTTCATTTCTTGTTAATGTCATCGCACACTGTCCTCTTATTAATCAAATAAACTCAACTAAACTCTCTAGGTATTTGTGGATAACAATATATGTTAAAAAGTATTACAATCTTTTAAGCGTCTGAAGAGATTTTAATCATTTAATTATCTCCTAATCATCTCCAAGGAACATAAGTCACTGCTTAACATCCTGTTACATAACTTCCGACTGTTCCTCCACCAAAACCTGCCCTGTGATAGTGTACTCCAGGGCTCTCCAGTTGAACACATTGCCTGGAGGGATGTGCACATGATCCATATAGCGTTTGAGCTCAGAGGTGGAGAGGACATAGTCCCACATGTGGACGTCAGTCATCATACCAATGAAAGATTGAGTTGCATCGAAACCTTTGCCATAGGAGTCCTGCTCTTGGCCCAGGATGGTGATGGGTGCTCCAGTGATGGTCCCAGTTTTGATGAATCTCTTGATGGTTGCCTTGCCGTCCACCCACAGCTGAACCAATCCGTTGTCAGAGCGCCAGGTGGCACACATAGAGTGCCAGGTGTTTGGAGGAAATGACAGCGAAAGGAAGTCAGATTTAGCGTCCTCAACTTCTATCCTGATGTGGTCAACTGAATTAAGCTTGAAGATCAGGAAGGCATTGTTGTGCGAGGGAGTAGCCATAGAGAAGAGCCCGTAGTTCCTGGTGATATCTGTTTGGAATCTGTGCAGATGTGCCAGCTGTGAGAAACTGGGGCAAACAACTCTTCAAACATTACCATGAATAAAGAAGCTTTCTGGTTGCACCACCAGTTACCTGAGACAGGTAGTCAGAGAAGTGAATTCAGTTTTAGATGTCAGGAGCTTCACATAATCTGTTGTACCCTCCTTGGGGAAGACAAACACTTTGCCTGACAGATCTGCACAGGTGGATAAATCAAACCAGAGAATCTTTAAGAGGAGGACTTTAAGAGCAAAAATACTGACTTGACTACATGAACTAAAATGTTCTGTGGATGAAACAAACAAAAAAGTTCAATCTATATTACATCATTGTCTGTAAAATGTCAAAAGAGCTCCAGCAACACTTGTGGTATGGAAAAAAAACATTATTGACCGACGCGTTTCGGCTTGTGGCCTTCATCAGGGTCATCCCTGATGAAGGCCACAAGCCGAAACGCGGGGTCATCCCTGATGAAGGCCACAAGCCGAAACGCGTCGGTCAATAAAGTTTTTTTTCCATACCACAAGTGTTGCTGGAGCTCTTTTGACATTTTTCAGTGTTTCCTCACTCTCCATGCACCTTGTGAATCGGTGAAGTTGTGCCAGAAACCACTTTCTACATCATTGTCTGTAAACACAGCTTTGTTGATTAAGAAAGACTGACGTACCTTCAGGTGTTGCACAACATGTTGCAACCATCACCATCAAAAGTAAAAGGCTCTTCATCTGAGATTTCAAAAAGCCAATATTTCAGTGTCAATGGAAAATTTATGGTCATACAATCACTTCAGCTCAACAATGCCTGCATTCATTACCAACTGGCAGTATCTGGAGGTTCTCGTTTTGTAAAATGATGTAATTTTGTCCCATTAGCCAATAAATATCACTTCATTTAACTGGTTATTTATACTATGACAGTGAATTTAAACAAATCAGCAGAATATAAAAGATCAGATGCAAACAGCAAATGACCCAACTTGAAAATGAATTTGATAATCTCTCACGTTTAAGCTGTATAGAGTTCTTACCTTGTAGCCGTGTCAGCTTCTTGCCCTGGACGCCTCAGTTTCAGGATGTCTGACCTGCACTTATGTCTGAGACAGGTTGTTTGATCTGCTTTCATCATGAAGGACTGTGGACTATTTCCCAACCATAGGATAAATCAAACAACAAAGGGGGGCACTTTGTGGGTCTGAAATGGCATATTACGTCATATCCTCATGTTACACTTAATAATTCATTTTTGCTCCAAGGAAGGTGATCAGGTTTTTTTTTGTTTTGTTTTTTAAATCAAAGGACACCTATTGCTCACATGTGCATACGTGTTGTTTCTTTGTCTTTAATATACGGCAGCGCCCCTTTGGAGGTAGCCTATCTTATTATTCTCATTGAACAAACACAGGCCTACAGTGTCCTTAAATGCCTGCTTTGTTGACAGTACATGTCATGATGCATGCACACACCTTTGGTTGGGTACAGTTCACATTTGAAACACTAGGCTACTGGCACTGGTTCCAGCGTCCAAGCCTAGGGGTGCTCGGCAGCACGAGGTTTCTCACCTCTCAGGTACAGACATTTGGCACTGATGGATTAAATGTGAATTAGTACTCAGTGGTACTGATGTAATTCAGTTGGTAAAAACAAAGTTGAACACACTTGTCTGAGCATAGGGGGAGTGATTTGGCTCATAACATACATGGTACATGGTGTGCTTATATCGACATGTTTGTTACAGAATGTCATGTGTAGATGAAAACTTACAGAGGCGTGTTGTCAGTAGTGCATACAGCTCTTGTTGGGACTGTAATGAGTGCAGGAGGGTGGATGTGGCGAAGGCGCAGGCGGAGGAAATATTTATATGGACACTATTACATGGACATTATTTTGACACTTATCTTTTATAGACTGTGAGTGGACATTTAACAGTAGTATGGTTGTTAATAGTGATATTTTGGATTACCTCAGTTAATTGTTTTCATCATTGTGGTTTATTTGCTTCTATTTTATCTATTGGTATTAGTCAGTCCTTACCTATTTTATTTGTTTGTTTGTTTTTCTGCATGGTGTTTTTTTCCTTTTGAAGTGGTTTGGTGTCGTTGAAAATCTGGAATTCAATAAAATTAAGTCATAAAAAAGACAAGACGAAGCAAAAAACACCATCAACATGTAAGGAACACATTCATAAGATAACAGCCAAGTGTAAAAAGATATTAAATGTGATGAGATGTTTAACAGGCGCAGAATGGGGAGCAAGCAGATCTGCAATTAGAAATATTTATGTAGCGCTGATTAGAGCAGTATTAGATTATGGATATATTGCCTGCGGTTCAGCAGCAAAAACCTCATTAAAGAAGTTTGAGGTGGTGCAAGCTCAAGCTTTAAGACTTTGTTGTGGTACTTTAAAAGCGACTCCTGTGTCCGCTCTTCAGGTTGAGATGGATGCGAATCAGACACAAACAGTTAATCATGAACTACTGGACAAATCTTCAAGGGCATTCTGAAGATCGACATCCAACAACAAAAGCAGGCTACTTCTTCCATGCTGGGAGAGAGAAAGGGCCAAAAGGGAATGTTTTGCGTGGAGCAGTGAAACAGTTGCTAGAGATATGTCGTTAAATCAGAAAAGATGTATCCCTACAGTGCCATTATCAGTAACGTCACCCTGGTTGTTCCCCTCAGTGTCAGTTGATGTCTATATTCTGGAAAAAGTGCAAGTATATAAAGATTTTGGAAATATTGCAGTTTTGGTTGAAGATGGGTTACAGTCATCCCAGTATACACAGATGGATCCAAGGATCCTAACACAGGGAGCACTGGCTTTGCTGCTTTGAATATACCAACCTTAAAAGACTCTCATTTGTCAGTTTATACAGTCGAGATGATAGCTATTGCAACAGCATTACAGTGGATAGAAGAGTTGCAAATTAAAAAGGTTATTCTTTGTCCAGATTCATGTTCTGCATTAATGTCATTACAGTCATTTACATCTCACTGTAGGCAGGATATAGTTAATGAGATATATGAAACTCTGTACAGATTTAAAAATATGAATATTTTGATAACATTTGTGTGGGTACCAGCACACAGAGGGATTAAGGGCGATGAAATGGTGGATGCATTAGCAAAACAGGCACTGAAGCACAAGGAAATCATGGAAATTCCGTGTAGTAAATCTGACGCAAAAGGAATAATCAAAAGAAACATCATTAAAGAGTGGCAGCACAGTTGGGATACAACAAATACAGGACCAAACCTCTATGCAGTACAGCGAGAAGTGGGCACAGTGGGGTCAGGTAAAAGAAGCACCAAAGAGGAGAACATCTTAACAAGGCTGAGGGTAGGACACACCAGACTAAATAAAACATGGCATGTGATAAACAAACATCCCTCAGGATTATGTGACCTATGTCAAATAGAGGAATCAGTGGAACATGATTTTGCAGTGCAGTAAGTATTCTCGAGAGCGAGAATTATTAAAGAGAGAAATCAGGAAGATTGGAGGGGAAGAATTGAGTTTGGAAAGTATATTTACAATTGGGTTAGGGAGTCTATTCCAATACTTGAAAGAAACCGGATTGATCAACAGAATTTAGTAGTCAGGACTTTTGTTTTTCCTTTTTCTGATTTGTTCATAGGGGGTAGATAACTCTGGTTCACACTCCAACATAGTACGTGGCGGTAATGCGCCTTTACGCTGGTTGCCACTCGCTATAAACGGAAAGAAGAAGAAGACGAAAAAAACACCATTACCCATAAACCCCTGCGATGACATAGTAAACCCACAGACATCAAGATGGTGCTTGAAAGTACTATGGTCTGGTAAGGAATGAGAAATATGTTTAAAGTTAAAAACTGAAACAGCTAAATTTATTCAAAATAAGCCACCATTTGATAAATTCAATGTTCGTGTTTTGACGTCGTTCGTCTGAAATATTCGTCCAGGTTTACTGTTTTGTTTTTGAGTTAGAAGATGCTCGAGCTGTTTCCTGACTCACTCTGTAAGCTAGCTAACGTTAGCCAGCAGTAGCCTCCAGCACTGAGCTAACAAACGGCTCTACAGTCACGTTATAGACGTTTTACGAGTTATATGCTTATTAACGCTAATGAATGTAGTGTTGCTAACTAACGGTCGTGTAATACAGCTGTAAAGTCTAAATTGCGCCTCAAGTGCAGTCAAAATGTCTTTGGTTAATTCATTAGCATTAGCTAGCTAACAAAATGTAAACCAAACGTTACTATCATTGTCACACGCAACTCAGTTGGACTAACTGAGCTAACATGTCATTCAGTTATCACACATAGACGCTGCCTCTCAGTTTGGGCTGCATTCAGAGCACACAACATGAACAACCTGTTTCATTAAGCAGTATCAGTTACAGTTTATCATACAGTAGGAAGCAGCACTGCAGGGTTATTGCATTGTTTTTATTACACTGAATGAGTTCAGGTTTTGTGTTCACTGGGACTACAGTCGTTTTGTAAACTGCTTTAATCATTTTGTCTGTTAATTATGAGAAAATAGTGACAGGCTATATGCTTATCACATGCCCCAGAGCCTAAAGTGATGTGCTCATGTTGCTTGTTTGGTCCAACCAACAGTCCAGGACATGTGTCAAGTGTTGTAGGTGACTTTGTGCAATAGGAATTGGCACTTAGCAAATTAGCACTTTACAAACTGCACTATGCACTTTGCTGTGTTAGGGCATGTGCAATATACCGGGTATATTCTATGGTCGTACCAAGCTCTTTGCCTGTTGTGTGTTTTGTGGTTTACTATGTTGTCCTTATGTTGTTCTTCTCTGTGTATTTTATTTTCTTTTGTTGATAATTGATTTTGTGTTCGACACCAACCTGCCAATGGGACTGGAGATGGAAATTAGCTACCCGGCTATAATCTTGTGCATTTACATGTAAATGTCCATTAATGCATATTGTCCCATTTTTAAAATAAATCTCAAATCTCAAATCAATATATAATAAAGTAAAGCAGCAAATCTATTACTCTTGAGAAACTGATATCAGTAAATAGTTGGCATTTCTGCTTACAATTGATCATTTATCAAGTATAGCACTGTTTCAGTGTCTGCTCCTTTGACATGTTATGCAGTGTTCTTATTAGAGATGCACATAGTATTCTCATACTATCCATATTGGTTTAACCGATAATTATCCAATCTGTATAATTAACATTTTTTTGCTAGAAAGAGGAAATTCATCAGTTAGGACTTTGTGCCAGAGCATCTGTGTTTTGGCTGTGACCACTCGGCAGAGCCACCCACTGACACATCATCAGTTGTGCACCTCAACATAGTCGGGTGTTTCTGTCTTTATCACAATACACCCCCCGCTGAGGCAGGCCCACTACAGGATGAACAGGCCTGGGTGTGTGTCAGAAGGTTGGCTCCTCTGTGGTCACCTAGGGGCCCAGTTGGGATCCTTTCTCTTCAGCCGTAGCCAGTGACTGCACCTGCTAAAAATATAACAATTAATTTCAATATTAAATAGACATATTAAAAAACAGCAGCAGTCACTCATATATAACAAAACGTATTTGGTAAGATGACAGGATGGAATAAAAGTTTTATGGTAAATGTTTCTCGTTGTCATGATACCCTACATTGTCTTCCTGAAGGGAGTTTTCCAAATTAATTTAACAATGGAGCGTCAGTGTTGCTTTCATCTTAGTTCTTTATACTTTCATAAGTAATTTTCAGCACTGCCATTATTTTTTCATAGTGTGGACAACAGTGAGTACATGCGCAATGGAGACTTCCTGCCCACCAGGCTGCAGGCTCAGCAGGATGCAGTTAATATTGTTTGTCACTCCAAGACCCGCAGCAACCCCGAAAACAACGTGGGCCTCATCACCATGGCAAAGTAAGAGGCACTGTACTTAAATGAGCGTGCTGACATTTCACATATGTTAATATAATAGCACAAGTGTTGTTTCCCCGTGCAGCAACTGTGAGGTGCTGACCACACTGACCCCAGACACAGGCAGGATACTGTCCAAGCTGCATGCTGTGCAGCCGCGTGGAAACATCAGCTTCTGCACTGGCATCAGGGTGGCACATGTAAGTTTGTGACTTTCTTTATACAGTGAGGCTTCTCCTGTAGTAGAAGAGCTGGAAAAAATGAAAGAAGAGGATTGTAGAAACATTAAGACACATGGCGAGGTCAGTTAAAGAACTGGCTCAACTAAATCACCCTTAGAACACTTCATTAGCTTCCCATTGAACAGAAAATACAGTTTATAATCACCCCACTGGTCTTTAAGGCACTACATGGTTCAGCTCCCCAGTATATTTCTGACTGCACACTGACGTCACCCCCATCAGTCCTCTCAGGTCTTTAGACAGTAGCTTTTTTGTTTAGTACCCTAATACGACCAGGAGATGGTAAAGGTGCTGTCTGTTACTGCAGACCTGCCCTCTAGAATGGTTTGCCTAATGAGCTGCAATCTGTAACCACTGAATCTACATTTAAAGATAAGCTTAAAACCTTTCTATTTTCTCAGGCCTATGATCAATGTTCCAGTGTTGTGTGTTTGTTTGTGTACGTGTGTGCATGCAAACCTTTTCATTTGCTATGTTTCTCTTTGTAGTTGGCGTTGAAGCACAGACAGGGCAAAAACCACAAGATGCGCATTGTTGCATTTGTTGGCAGCCCGGTGGAGGACAATGAAAAAGATGTAAGCTATGTTATTTGCATGTTATTAGTGTTCATGTATTACCCAGCAAATATCAGTTTTGTGATCTTGATATTGATAATCAGTGAGGAAACTTTCAACAGTATCAGACTGTTAAGATTTTGTGTGGATGGGATGGTTGACATGTTGGGAAAGCTTGCTGCTGACCGCACTTTGGACTTTGGACTCTGCTGCCTGTTTACACTGAAGTGATATTAACACTTGATTATTAATTTGTTTGTTTATTCGAATGAATAAGCTGACTCAACCTTAAATGTAAACTAACAAATCTTCTCCTTGAGTTATTAAAAAAGACAAAGTAAACAGCAAGCATCAATATCTTTGAAGATGTTAGACACAACTTACTACTCATATTAAATGTTTCCATGACATCATCAGTGGGAATGTGCAGACAGCAGATGAAGTTACCATGATTGACTGCTGCGGAGGCAAATATGTGACTAGTCAATTTAATGTTGCTACCCTTTCTAGTCAGCACAAGAAATACCAATGGTTAAACTTATTATTAACATACCGAGTTGAGGAGTTTGGATCAGCATATGAGACAAACCAGTGGTTCTGATTGTGAATGGCTAGCCCTCTCTCTCTTTTTTTTTAAAACACACCCAGAAACACACACATACTCAAAGACTGTGTGCATGTCTGTGCATTATTTTGGTGCACAGGAGAAGCCTTGAAGTGTGGGTCCAAAATGTTATAGATGTTAGACCTTGAAAATCATTAAATAGTTTTAAATTTGAAGTTTTAAGGGCTTAATTGCCACAAACATTTTAGCTAATTTCATCTATCCGTTTTTTTTATTTTTCTTTGTTGTCCAAATGAGTCAAGCTCTTGTGTGTGTCAAATCTTAAAACCAACCACTGAACGTAATACTGCACTTCATACTATGTACGAGCACTTACCTGTTGGCAGAATGAAGATTAAACAAATCTAACCTTCACTCTAATAGCCATATTCCTACATAAAATCTACCTCTGCATGGGACGACACATATACGACTTACTTTTATACTTAAAATCAGTCTTAAATCTGATTAAAATTATCTTGAAAACATCTTAAAAAGCTTTACATTGAAGTGTTTTATACCTGTAGGCACTCATGCATACAGTAAGAAAGTAATTGTGTGAGTGAGTGCGTGGAGTGTGTGTGTTTTACAGAACTAAGTCAGGATGTTAGATACACAGTATACAAATGTTCTTTGTTAACTTTTATTAATGCATTGTTGTCATATTTTTTTGTAGTTAAATGTGCAGTGTTCATTGTGCAAAGTGCCATGCATTTCAGCAGCATTTAAAATACAATTTTATTATTGAAAATGTGATTTCAAATGGCTTTCTTGACAAACAATATTTATTCAGACAATGTTTAACCTTAAAATTCAAATTGTGCTCAAATTGGCTTTTCTTACTTTTAGACTAGTCTGAGTTCAAACTTCAGGGAAATTAGCCATTAAGAACATCATTGGTTGTTATCCAGCTTGCTTAGTTTTTCATTAAACGTAGCTGTCTCTGGGGAAAATAGTTGACAGCATCAGTGTATTAATATATCTTTAAGGCCCCTAATAAAACATTTAGTGTTTGTGACACTGAAGTATTTTTATTTTCCTGCAGCTGATCAAAATGGCAAAGCGTCTAAAGAAGGAAAAGGTCAATGTGGATATCATTAACTTTGGAGAGGAGGTATTTTTCCATCAAAGCTTCACATACAGTAAACACACACAAACACACACACCTTGAATATATAATGTGTTATTGTGTATATTTTTGCACTGTTGTCTGGTCCCTGCGTCTACCCTCATTCTGTCTCACCCCTGCAGGAGATGAACACAGAGAAGCTGACAGCCTTCATCAACACACTGAATGGCAAAGACGGAGCCGGCTCCCACCTGGTCACAGTTCCTCCAGGCCCCAGTCTGGCTGATGCCCTGCTGTCCTCACCCATCCTGGCTGGAGAGGGAGGTGCAGTGTTGGACCTGGATCCGTTTGGAGTGGATCCCAGCGCAGACCCGGAGCTGGCCTTGGTAAGACAGCTGGGGAAAGATGCTACAGTAGTTAGCTGTAGTCTGTATGGTTTATATTGCTCATTGTAATCACAACTTTTCTTGTGTTTGCATCTAAAATTTTCTGGATTGTTCATTTATAGTGCTGTTTTCCCTACAATTGCAACATTTTGTCTTTTTTATTCTTCACTGTATGTTTCTGTTGCTGTTTGCTTCCTCTCTTCCCTCTAGGCTCTGAGGGTGTCTATGGAGGAGCAGAGACAACGACAGGAGGACGAAGCTCGCAGAGCCGCTGTCGCATCAGCTGCTGAAGCTGGCATTTCCTCTCCTGCTGCAGATGGTGAGAAAAGTGTCCAACAACTTCTTGTGCCATCACAGATGCCAATATCGGCCCATCTTTGTCAGTAGGGGCTTTACAGCTCCCAATAGGAGTGTGTTCACACTGCATGTTTTTCTGTCGTTCTGTTGCAGAGTCAGAGGACGCCCTGTTGAAGATGTCTGTTCCTCATACAGACTCCTCCACACCTGCTCTGCCAGACTTCAGCCGCATGACAGAGGATGAACAGATCGCCTATGCTCTGCAGATGTCCATGCAGGGAGCAGGATCAGGTTAAATATGGATTTTGAATTTTCTGAACTTCCCTGGCCAGGAGATTTGACAACCTCTAATACAAGCTGAGATGCAGTTTGCATCACGCCAAATTTATAAAGTCATGTTTAAGGTATGTTAGGGCTCTGACACACCAAGCTGCTGCCCTTGTCACCTGTTTCTGGGCTGATTTAGCATGTTGACTTGGTGTTGGAGCCGGCAGAGCCTGCTTGTGAGTGAAGTCACTCTGATTGGCTGTTCAGCTCAGTGCACAAGAAGAGAACCATAAGTGAGGAAAGCAAACTCAGTTTTGTGGTTGGTGGCTATTCTGTATGTGTTTTACTCGTTTTATTTGTAGTCTTGAAACTCAAATAAGCCACAGACACTCACGAATTTTGAGTGTTATCTGCCTTCATTGTAGGTATGACTGATTGCAGAAGTGTGTATATCCAGCTGCCAATTTGGATAATGATTACCTGGAGATGAGATATTGGTTTGCTTGTATTGGCACTAATACAGTTTATTATGCCAGGTGGAGACTTTAGAGCCTGGAAAAACATCCCCACATATCCTGCTTGTGATTACTGACTAAGCAGTTCGCAGGAGCAGTTTGAACTAGTCCATATTTACTAATTATGCAATGCTTGTATGTTAAGATGCAGATCAGTGTTAATTTTTTTTTTGCATAGCAGCACATTCAGGAACATGGAGCCCAAGTTAAAAAAAAACAAACAAACCTCATCATCATTTCTGCTCCATTATTCCTGCAGAGTTTGATGCTGAGGACATGGACACAGGGGTTGACATGGACTCCAGTAAGGCAAAGGTGAGCACAAGCGCTTTTAAGTTCTCAGTTGTCTTTTTCATCTATTTAAAAACTGCATTGTAAAGATTACAAAATTAAATTTTCTGTTTCCAGGATGAAGAGGACTACGATGTTATGCAGGACCCAGAGTTCCTTCAGAGTGTCCTGGAGAACCTTCCTGGAGTTGACCCCAACAATGAGGCCATCCGTAATGCCATGGGCTCGCTGGCTTCTCAGACGGGCCCCAAACCCGACACCAAGAAGGACGAGGAGAAAAAGAAATGAGCACCCAAAGAAAAAAAGAGGAACTTCAAATATGAAAAATAAAAAAAAGACCTGAGAATTGCACCGCATGTGTTATTCACAGTAACATTATTACCCTCCTCTGTACAGGAACCGTTTTGTTAATCCTTTGTTTATGCTAGCTGTTCAACCTGTAAACAACTTTTTTTCAACTTTAGGTTGTTCTGTTTTCATTTTTTGTGTAAAGCACATATGCGTATTTTTGAATCTTTTGTAATATACCTACTCAGTAACAAGGGCCGATTTCCTCAATAAATTTACAGAATACAAGGTGCTACTGATGCTTGAAATGTATTCACAGTTGTGTCAGCTGCAGGGTGGAAAATTAACTATCTTGTCCACCTGCCACTGTGGTTAGTGGAGTCCAAAATCTACCAGCTACTCAATAGATTATCAATGGGGTTTTTTGTTGGTGAGAAAAGTAAATCTAGCAGCCACTTGCATATTTTACCAGCATTTGGCTGGTAGCTGGTGCTAATTTCCAATGCTGGTTAGCTGCAACAATGTTATTTTTACATGCGTACTTTTCCAATAATATTAATGGATGTTGCATTGATATTTACAAACTCTCACCAGTATCACACAACTAGCACCCTGTTAAACATGCAAAATGGGAATATTATTACTATGGCTGGGTGTTCTTTACAGATCAAAACAGGATGCAAGACATAATGTATACGTGACTACAGCCTAGGGGAGAGCTGTATAGACATGCTGACAAACACCCTTTGGCTTATAACACTGAATATGTTTTAATAATTTTCTCATTCTGAGAATTAGCATCAGTTTACACCTTCATGTAACTTGGAAAAAAAGCAGCTGATGGTTTGCCAAATGTGTAAATGTGAAGTGTGTCATGTAGGTACTTTTTTCCTGCAGAATACTCAGATTGATTAAAAAGAATAATCCGAATTTGTGTTACTGTAATACGTGAAGCTAAAATTTATATCTCATAAGCACAGTTTCCAGCAAGCACTTACAAATTTACATTGTTTCCAGTTTGCAGATTTACAATGCCACAAGTAGTCACATTGTAGAAATTACACTTCGCATCAGAAATATATTTTCTTAGATTTTTTTATTTTCTAAGTAACATTTCTGAATTATTTTGCACGATATTGCTTTAACTACATGTAAAATAAACATTCTTTTTGTAAGTGAAATAAACATAGTCACCGTCGCAGGATTTGATGACGTAAATTTATGCGACCGAGAGTAAAGTCAGGAATCAACTTCGCTTACTAGCAGGTAATTCAAATTAAATGCAAGCAATAGCTGATGTTAACATGAACTAGGGTGAACATAATACTTATTAAACGAAGTATATTATGACCACAGCAGCTGAGTGTTACACTAACCTAGCCAGCTGTAGTTTTTGGTTACATGAAGAAAGTTGGCCGATTGACGTTAGCACGGCGCGCTAGCTGCTAAATGCTAAAGTTTAGCTAGCGGTTAGCCGAAGAGCCCACTTGTTGCAACACGACTATTTAACTAAGTTTGACATGCGAAACAGCAACTGATTTGTTTCTTCAAACGTGTTAATATTTCACCAGGAAAGTCTGGAGCAGAATAACAACATGCCAACTGCATTTCTTCACACAGTCTCGACCATTTTGTGATACCAGCTGTCACATTTTTGATATCTGTAACACCGAAATCTGTGACCCGTCATTAGCTGTGACTCAGTAAGTTAACGTTATCAGACTCCCTTACTTAAAATGGGTTAGTTTTTGGAGCCCCCTAATCTGTGCAATTAACCCAATCTGTGAACGCAATACCTACAGGAAGTTAAATTGTAAATACACTGAGATTTAGATTGATTTTTAAGTTTTTTTCCTTTTAATATTATGGTATATCAGAAATAACTGTTATACAATTATTTGTCTGTGTTATGTATTTTATCAATAATCAGCATAATAATGGACTTCTTTAACGTGTTTTCTTCTCTCTGACACTTGCAATTGTTTTATTAGCTTTATGGTTGTTTTAACTGAACTTTTCTAATGCAGAAAGAGGCTGTTTGGCAAAGAATGAAGGCTCTGTGAACATAGATTATGTTCAGTTCTTTGTTATGCCCCTATTTTTTTATTTTTTATTTTTAAATCTTGAATAATAATCTATTTCATTCAGTTTTCTTTACAGAAGTTTTGAGATGTAGCCCCACTGAACATATATATTTATAAAAAGGTTTCTTACACCTTAAAATTGAGAAGGCCCCGTGATTCCCCCATGAAGATTTGGCAAACACTGATCTAGATGCTCGTTACTCTGTATGGAGAAAAACTCCCAAACATATGTCACGCCTCAAATTTAAAATACTGAAAATAGGTTAGTCCATCAATTGTTTAGCTGAGTAAAAAAATAAAGAAACCAAAATTTGTGCATGGAGGGAAAAATACAAAAAATAAATGCTGATTATTAAACATTTTAGAATTAGGAAGTTAATAGTGGTTTAGTTTAAAATAAAAGTAACTTCACACCTAACTATTGTCATCACTTAACATGTTAGGATTAGGAATAGAGGTCCAGGGTCAGGTTAATAAGGGTGCTTTCACACCTGCTTGTTTGGTTCTGTCCAGTAGAACTCAAGTTCATTTGCCCCCTAAATGCAGTTCAGTAGGGCAGGTGTGAACACAGCAATCGCACTAAAACAGCCGGACCAAGACCTTCTTGAAGAGGTGGTCTCGGGCTGGTTACAAACAAACTGTGTGGTTAGTTTGTGGTGAGAACATGTTCCGACCTTGATCTGAACCAACTGCAGTCACGTGACACATTGTTTGGGTTAAACATGTTACAGTCCTGGAGGATTATTAATGTGCACCTCCTCCTGTACTGCCTTAATATGCACATTCAGCACATCCAGTGCATCAAAACATTGTTTTCTAGTTGGAGCCGCGCCTCGTTTTCAAACTGTATGGTTTGACTAAAATGAACAATGACAGCAATATAGTCCACGATGAGCAGCGCTAAAATCAACCTGCGTAGTTGTCCCTCCATTGTGACATTAGAAAGTGTCGCAATTATCTTGCAAGTGTACTCTTCTTCAACGTTTTGTTTACTTCCTGGATTTTTCCTACACGGAAATTCTGACCAATCAAGAGCAGCTTTCTCACACAAGACATTTTATCTGGTCCGCTTGTAAATGCTAGAATAAACCAAAGATATTCGAGGAGCAGAGAGTGACAAGAAAGTGACATGAGGCGAGAAACAGGATTAGGGGCTGGGTCATGGATCCTGATGGTGTTACAATCTTGACAATCAGCAATTGGTTTTTAAGACATCGGTCAGTCAGACATAAAAGTAACTTTCGCAGTTCAGCTGCATCAACGTGTCATGATTAAATTAACTTGCATATATTGCTCTGACTTGTGTTTTCTAACAGGTCTCAAGCCTTGTGCTGGCAATGGGGGACATGAAGACCCCAGACTTTGATGATTTGCTGGCAGCGTTTGACATTCCTGATATCGATGCCAAAGAGGCCATTCAGTCAAGTCCAGAGGAGGAACAGGATGAGGTGGGGTCTAATGCAGATGAGAGAGAGAGTGGGTCTCCTTCACACTATCCTGGCCCTCCTGCCTCGCAAAATGACCCTCCTGTGGTCAGTGTTATAGTAAAGAACACCGTTCGGTCTGACTCTTCTGAAGAGGAGGACAAGTTGGTCAGGGATAAAACAGACAATCCCTCAAACAGTGGCATAAACTCTCTGGGTCAGGTCAAAGTGGGAGTCCACACCTCACAGTTTGGTCCCAAAATGTCTGCTGGTGCGCCTGTGGAGCCCCAGATCGCCAATGGATTTGAGGGATCCATCCCCAGAGATGAGGGACAGTCCAACACAGAGCCGTGGCCCCCTCATTCACCATTGAGGTCCACACTGAGCACCGATGAGGGTGAAAGCGATAAAGGAGCTGAGGCAGGATCTGTCCAGCACACGACTGATGTCATGAACAGTTTGAAGCCCCTCCTCTACCTCCAGTCTTCAACTAGTGCTGATCCCAACTCCTCATCTCCTCCCTCCTTGCACTCTGCCAGCCCTCACCTTCCTCCTCACTCCCCTCAGAAGGAGGAAACTTGCCTCAGTAATCCGTCATCCCCACCACAAAACGGGAGTATTAAGGTCGGAATTAAACGTGTTATGCACTCAGATGAAGATGACTCAGAGCCAGACCTAGGAAGTCCCCTGGTGATCCAGGAGAGCCCAGAATCTGAAATGTCCGCCCCTCCCAAATTTAAACACAAAGCAAAACTACGGCCTAAACTGCTCAGGTCTCCTGAAACCACATCTTGTCTTGACTCTCATCCTCCTCGTATGCCTTCTCTTTCACCTGCAAAACCTGAACCCAACCTTGAGCAAGAGAGGCGACCTACCACCCCCTGTTCTCCCTCCACAGCTCTTCAACCACAGAGCCCCCAGGACTGCCTTCCCACTCTCAGCAAGGGCTCTGCATCAGTGCCAGAGGAAAAATACCCAGAGCATGTGATTGATGAGAGGGACTCGCCTGAAAGCCCACCGCCCAGTGAGACAGGTCTTGTGGCCCCTAAGAGAAGCAGCAGCCCTGATTCAGCCCAAACAGCAGAGAACCACAAGGAGGAGCTCATGGAAATTGAATCCAAAGAAGAGAACAAGCCAGGTGACACTGAGAAGCTAAATGAAAAGGTGGCTGCAGATGGAGACAATTTAGACGAGGAGAGCTGTGATGGTGGCGCTGAGGATCCTGTGCCTGCTAGTGCTGCAGAGACGGTTTCATCTCCACTGCATCCACTCAAAGTTAAAATCAAAATGCCTACAGGCAGCATCACGAGGACTGTGTCTGGTGTTGCACCTAAAAAAGGTGGTAGAGCCACTACCAAGGGAGCAAACAGTTCACCAGAACGACCTAACACGAGATCCAAGAGGGAGTTCTCCCAGCAGTCTCAGTCACCTGCAGTGGTGACACTCCAGGATGTGTGTGCTGTAACACTGGAACGTGCCAGCGCAGTCAAAGACAAAACCACAGTGAACACAAAGCCTAAAGTTTCCCCGACAGCTGTTAGCATCACCAAAACTGCAGCCCTGCCCTCCATCTCTGTCTCCACTGCCAGAGTCAGCTCTGGTGGGGCCAACCCTCGCGGCCTGGGTCAGAAAACTGCGAACAGCGGGGTGACACTTTCTGCACCTTCACCTCTGCTAACGTCTCAAGGCAGCAGCAGACCAGCCTCAATTGTGAACAGCACTGGGGCGATCATATCCAAGACTCAGACCAACCTGGTGGAAGCTTTTAACAAGATCCTCAACAACAAGAACCTGCTGCCCAGTTATAAACCAGACCTGAGCTTACCTCTCCCTGCAGAGTGGGGCCTCCCTCTACCTGCACAGGTAAGCTGTCAGTGTGAACAGAGCTGAAGCAATCAGTTGATGCTAATATATGATAGTTAACTTAATAATCTGGGGGGTTTTTGGACTGTTGGTCTGGACAAACTATCACTATTTTTTGACATTTTAGGGACAAAACAACAAATTATGATCAAGAAAATGATCTGCACTTTAAGTGGTAATGAAAATAAATGTTAGTTCATATCAGTGTATCAGTGTCTAAAAAGATGAATGTTTGATCCCCTGCAGGGTTACCGCTGTTTGGAGTGTGGCGACGCCTTCGCCCTGGAGCAGAGCCTGGTGCGTCACTACGCTCGGCGCTCGCTGAGGATTGAGGTGACCTGTAATCACTGCGCCAAGCGGTTAGCCTTCTACAACAAGTGCAGCCTGCTTTTACACGCCAGAGAGCACAAGGAGAGAGGCCTGATCATGCAGTGTTCACACCTGGTCATGAAACCTGTGCCTGTGGAGCAGATGATTGCCCAGCAGGAACCCACGGCGACTGGTTGGTGAACATTGTCTCTGTCTCAGCACCATTTTGGATGTGATATCTGCATGTGTTTTCTTTGCCTGTTCTCCTTCGATTCCTCAGATGTGCTTTCTCCATCTCTTTTGTCTTCAGCAGTGTCATCATCCCTCTTAGGCCAGGCCACCACAAACCCAACACCCCAGCCACATCAGGCAGCATCCAAGAAGAAAGTGGAGGCAGCGCAGTACGTCAGTAATAAATGTCCTGAGTGTCAGGCTCAGTTTGGCAGCAAAGAAGAGGTGGCTGAACACTTCCAAGAAATGAAACCAGCACAAACCGCTGTGAGTCTTCTGAGTTTCAGGAAAAATTGCAAGAATCTTTTTCCTTAATGAAACTGAACTCTAACCTTTCTTTGGCTTTACCTTTCTTCTTCTCTTGTTCTCCAGTCATGCACAGACTGCTCTCCTCCCATGCTCCTGCCCAACAGCTGCAGTGCAGCAGCTCATCAGCGCATCCATCAAGGCTGCCCACCACACGTCTGCCCGGAGTGTGGATGCACGACCAAGCAGCCTCTATTTCAATCACACCTTGATGAGACCTGTTTACACTTCGCTCGGCGCATTGGATACAGGTGTGATATCCATAGACAAGTATAGTGTATAGCACAGTAGACTTTATAGTATAAATGGATGTAGTTATTGTGACTTCACTCTTTGGTTTGTGGACTGCATTTTTAAACATCGAGTTTGGCATTTTGGTCGTAGCTATCTTGGATCTTTGGAGCCAGAAGTGACCATATTTGGACAAGAGTGCAATGCTAACCCTTATGCTAACTACTAGCTTGTCTGGTACAGTGCATTTACAGCTATCGTTAACTGTCATAATGCTAATTTTCGCTGGCTAAAACAGGCTTAAACCATCAAAACAAAATGTACTTACCGTAAAAAATAAACATCCAAGTACCATACGTATCTAATGTTGAGCAAAAGTTATCCCATAGAGGGTCTTATTGTACAACCAAACCCTGAACACAACTTTTTTAAGCAACCAGAGAGTTGCAGTTAAATTTCCAAGTGACAGGTGTGGCTAAGCTAAGCTGCAACCTCTTTGGCTAAAAAAGAAGTCAACAAGAAAGTGCCAAAAACTGCAGTTCTTTGAATGGCCACTTGAGGCTGGTTCAAGAAGTGAGTCAATCCCCATAGACCCCCATGTTAAAATGCTCAACTTTACAGCAGAAATAAACATGTTCACAGCCTAGTACAAAAATCCTCCTTTATGACAACTGTGCAGGGATGAATTTTTGTATAAGTCCCTCATTTACATTTTATTTAGGCTTATGGTTCCGCATTTTTAAGGGGTTGGCTGCTTTGCTCCACCCCTTGCTCCTCCAGAGCGACAGCCTCTCGCCCAAATATGGTCTCTTCGGGTTTAAAGAAAAACAAGAAGTTTTAGTCAGTGGTTTACTCTGTGACTTTGGGGTAAAGCCATGGTTATGTTACCTAACCAGCCTGTCACCATGGTAGCAACTTGTCAACAGTACCCACCTGTCACTCAAAGTCTCAAAGTAGTCACACCCTTAAAGCTGCAGTAGGTAGAAAGCCTGAAAACGGTTGATTTGAGTCTCATCTGAGTTAGGTTTTGTTCGTCTCTGCCCTGAGCCCCTCCTACCAGACGAGCACACGAGTATTTTATCCTACTTGGTTCTATTTCTCCCTCTCTGGGAGCCTCGGCTCTCCCTCACCACGCAGCAGCCCTCCCCATCCCTCACTCGCGGCCCCGTACATACTCCCGAGCCTCACTCTCCCTCACCGTGCAGCAGCCCTCCCCATCCCTCACTCGCGGCCCCGTACATACTCCCAAGCCTCACTCTCCCTCACCGCGCAGCAGCCCTCCCCATCCCTCCCTCGCGGACCCACACAAACTCCCAAGGCTCGGCTCTCGCTCTCCGCGGAGAGCTCTCGGCTCCGCTCCCATGGCCGACCCTCGCGCCCTCCGGCCGGGCTCAGCCCCACCTCACCCTTCCCCTCCCTCTGGGGCTCCGGGGAACCGAGTTCTGTCTTCCTTTTTTTGGGTTTAGCTGTGTAGGCAGTTGTAGCCAATGCTGGAATAGCTATTTTACCTGGTGCACTGTTCGCCATTGCTGCTTGCTCTCCCCTTCTGCCAGCGGCACAGGAACGCGCATATGCAGTAGAACAGCCAATAGGAACGCAGTGGTCTGAGCTGACCTTTGATTGGTTGATTCACATCGGCACGATACTGATTCTTTAGAGGCTGAACACAGAGCCATGGTGAGGTGCAGAAACCTATTGTTCAGACCGCTTGATTGACATTATGCTTAGAGGATATTATATTGTTGTTGTCTTGATATTATAAAATTTTTACTCAATTATACCAAAACAATGTTGCCTACTGGAGCTTTAATTATGTATAACTGTAAGCCTTAAAAAAGGTAAATGGCATAGAGTTACGTAAAAATCCATCCTTGTACAGCTGTCATGTACCAGGCTGTAAGCATGTTTATTTCTGCTGTAAAGTTGGGCATTTTAAAATGGGCGTCGATGGGGATTGACTCACTTCAGGAGCCAGCCTCAAGGGGCCGTTCAAAGAACTGCATTTTTATGGCACTTCTGCATCGGCTTATTTTTCAGCCTCAGAGGTTGCCTCTTCGTGAAATCATTGTTATATCCACATAAATTCTATCTACACACCTGTGTTTTCCTCTTTTCTCTGCCATTTATCGATCCTTCTTCTCTCTGCAGATGTTCCAGTTGTCTGGTGGTGTTTGGAGGGCTTAACTCAGTGAAGTCTCACATCCAGCAGGCTCATTGTGACATGTTTCACAAATGCCCCAGCTGTCCAATGGCTTTCAAATCTGCTCCCAGCATACAGAACCACATCAGTGCCCAACACCCAACGCTCACTGAAGGACAGACCATGTATGCATACAGACACACACACATTTGAATTTTCCTCATTTAAAATAAAGGGTTGGCTTTCAATTAACTGACCCAGTTTTTATCCTTTTGCAGGTCAATCTATAAATGTGTTATGTGTGACACTGTTTTCACAAACAAGTCCCTGCTGCACGTCCACTTCGACACTCATTTAACCAATCAGAAGGTGCATGTGTTTAAATGCCCCGAGTGCACCAAGTTGTTTTCTCAGAGGAATTCCCTCCTGGACCATTTCAAGGTACGTGCAGGCTTATATAGTGTCTGATAAAGTCATTAAAGATATTAAAAAAATCAGCCTTATCATGTCACTCTGTTTATTCCTCTTCCTCAGACCCATAAAACTCCCACGTTAAAACAAGAGTTGCCTTCACCTCCAGCTGCGCCCTCTCGATCACGGCCCTCATTGAAGCTGGAGAGCTCAGACGGAGAGGAATGGATGGATGATGATAAAGAAGAAAAAGTGAGGAAAGAAAGAGTGAAGACCCCCTCAGGGTGGAAGTGTGCGCCTTGCCATGCACGCTTCACAGACCGGGAGGAGTACATCGGCCATATGGCTGAACAACATGGCAAGGTCTGACAGTCCAACATCCCCCCCTGCTGTCTAAGATGTATAATGCAACTAAATTAATTCCATTTTAAAATACAGCTGTTTAAACAGATGTAGGCAAATGGGGTTTTTTTTGTGTGTGTGTTGTGCAGAAGCTGAAGAAGTTTCCTTGTAACAAATGTGAGAGCTCCTTCACCACCACCTCCAGTATGAGACGTCACATCAGAGACAAACACAAAGTCATGAATCGCTGCTTTCGCTGCAAGTGAGTACCCCACACTCTGTATCCTTCATCGATACAATTATCAAGAGAATTTCTGTTTCAATATTTTCATCCTACTGAGGAGATGCACTTGAATGGCAACCCGGGGGCTAGATGCATGAAACTCTGTAGAGTCAAGACTAAAAGCAGCAGGCTGTGTCAAGTTCGAGTTAATTATCACAGAAACCTAGAATAGCCTGTAATGTTATTTAATTATTGGGATCTTTTTTTTTTTTTACAAAATTATATCTAATGTTCGGCCTGGCCTGGGACAGGTCAGCAGCCCTCTGTTGTACAGTCAGGAACACTTTACTTAACAGTTTAAGTTTATTTAAATATACATAAAGACAGTAATATTATCTTAACTTTTACACAATACAAAGGCCTGTGACAAAAGCACACATTTCCCTGTCAACTAAAAATTTTAATTCAGACTAGTCAACTAGTCTAAAAAAGGAAAACACTCAGAAAACAGTCAAAATTTAGCACAATTTATGAAGTATTTGAAACATTGCCCCAAAAATATTGTGTGCATTAAGAGCCCTTTGAAGCCTTTAATCACATTCTTCAACAACCATGTCGGATTTTAAATGCCGCTGAAGTACGAGACACTTTGTGCCGTATGAATGTGAACATGACGGCAACTCAGTCAAAGTTAACCTCTAAAATAACATCTAAAATAAATAAATTGCCTCTGAAATGTGGGGCACATTGAACCTTGCAGATTATCTGACAGAAATGATAATAATTCACTTTAAAGTTAATAAAACAACATCTAAATTATAATTGAATTTCAGCTGAAATGAGAGGTATTTTGCACCGTGCAGTATGAATGTAAATCCTGCACATTATGTGACAACAGCTCATTTAAAGTTAACAAACATTATAACATCTCAAAAGATAAACTGCTGCTGAATTCATTTTCTAGATCAAAGTACTGCCAAACCACGCTGGTTTTGTGAGAGGACATCTCTAATTTCCCACCGTGCTGTTTTAAAACTCCAGTCTACTCAAGCATTACTGCGGGGAGGGGGACTGCTGTCTGACGGCTCTGTAGCACCCACTAGTGGCGGGCGGCTACATGACAGTTAAGCAGCCTTGTACATGAATAAAACACTAACTGGTTTAACTGACTAATATTTCATTTCATTACATTTAATCATTTAGACGACTAACCGCGCGCATCCCTAATCTGCTTCGCCAATTTCCTGTCTCCAAAGTGTTCTTAAGTATGGGTCAAAGTTTCTCCCATCAAGTCTGTTTTTATACATCACAACTTTTGCATTTGAAGTAGGCCTCGTTTTGTGTGTACGCAATGTTTATAAGTGAGACCCCTGGAGAGGAAAGTCGAACTCATGAAGAATTGTTTTGTAAAACTTAGGGTCAAACTGTGATACCTGAAATAAGTGATTTTACTGTGTGATGCCCACTCAGACTTTCACTGCAGTCACTAAATCATTAGAAAGTGCATTTGTAAGTGTGTGTGTGTGTGTGTGTGTGTGTGTGTGTAGGTTTTGTACTGAGGGTAAGAAGACATTCAGCAGCAGAGAGATGCTGGAGAGACATGTTCAGCTCAGACACAGCGTGGACCCAGCGGGCCAGGACACACTGATGGTAAGCTGCTACTCTTCTTTCAAGGAGTCAAACGGGAAACAGATTTTACTAAGACGTTGTGAACGGCAGTTGTCTTGATTTCCTCTGGTCACAGGGAGGAGAGGATGAAGCCGACAGTTCCTCAGAGCAGGACAGCAGTCTGGGGGCTACCCGGAGACGGAGAGGAGCTATGAAGATGGAGCGGGACGAAGAGTCCACAGATGGAATGAGTCCAGTGAAGAAGTTGCGGTCCTCCTCCTCCTCCTCTGCTCCTGCCCCCTACTCCCACCCCGAGTCTGGGTTCCGCTGTGCTCCCTGTGGCTTTACCACAGAGGACCAGGCATTGTTCCTGGAGCATATCAGCCAGCACCGACGAGGAGGGACAGAGGGCGGCAGCGGTCAGCAGTGTCTACAGTGTGGCGCCTGCTTCACTTCCATCTCCTCCCTGTCACGCCATCGCTTCATCATACACAAAAAGAAAGATGCATCCACTGACAACCAGCAATCCCTCAGCGGGCTCCCAGCACCCTCCCCAGGTAACGGCAGGAATCACGATGATAAGAGCTCTCTGGACGGTTCTGCACCTGCATCGCCCTCTCTGTCCTCCGCAGCTCTGGGGAGGGAAGAGGACGGCACACTGGCCTGCAGGGTGTGCGGCAAACAGTTTGAAAAGGCAACGGATCTGACGACGCACTTCAGAACTCACGGTATGGCTTTTATCAGCGCAAGGCACGCCGGAAAAGCTCCTTAAGATGAGAATGAAATACAAGGGGAAGAGCAGAGTAGGTAGGTGATGACAGAATATTTAAAAGTGCCTTATTTACCACCGAAGTTCGGGTTTGCACACCTATGCACTAATTTAACCAAAGAACAGGCAGAACAGAGTTTCTATGTAAATAGATCGTAAAACAATCAAATGTGATTTTCACCGGTGGAGTTAAAGATTAACCTTCTCCTTTTAAAACTCAGGATTTAATGCTGCATTTCTGTGTTCAGGAATGATACTAACAAGACAGGAGCCACTTCCTGCTCAGTGAGTAGTCTGACTAGTTCATGTCTGTGACCACGGTCGCATAATAATGTGCCTGTATAGAACTGTGATCCTACTGTGATTGATTATGACGGCTAGTTTTATTGAATGTTGTTAGACAGCGATGGATTGTGTCTGCCTTGATTTCAATATCTTCATCCTACTGAGGAGATGTGCTTGAATGCTAACCCAGGGGCCAGATGCAGAAAACTGTAGATTCAAGACTAACGTGTGTGTATGCACAAAGGCAGAAACATTTTCGTAAGATTTATAAAGCCACGTGTGAGCTTGATTCTACTCTATAAATCTGGGCGCACATGCACGAGCCTCATTTCCTCACCCTCTGTTCAACATCACTGGATGTTCGAAACACCCATAAACATTCATTTTAATATCGATACAAGTGCCCGCTCCACCACTAGGGGTGGGAATCACCAGAGGCCCCACGATACGATATCACGATACATATGTCATGATAATTGCAATGGTAAACATGTTGCAATATGCTGAGTATTGCGGTTACATATATTGCGATTTGTTCTCTTTTCTCAACAGTAAATTATGTCCCCATGGGAAAACTTTGTCAACGTCAACAGTTTTATCTAAGATAAAGTTTTCAGTCTGTTCATCTCACTTCAGTCATTTTTATCGCAGCAAAATGTTTCTAATAAACTGAAAAAGCAACTGATTTTATCATTCTGGTAGGCTACTAAAAGTTTAATTTGTATTTGTAATATTAATAATTTATATAATGAAAAAAAATTGATGCTTGGTGTCAGTATGGTGAGGCGATATTGCCATACAAAAATATCACAATACTGTGCCGTATCAATTTCCCCCGCCCCTATCCACCACATATAACCCTTATTTTCTCTGCTTCTTGAACCTTGGTTCCAACTAAAGAACCAGCTGTGTTTCCACTAGTTCTGCGCAGAACCATTGTAATCAAGGACGTGTCATCGACAGAGAACGTTGCAGAACGGACGTTAACAGTAGTAGCAAGATCACGGATTACATTCATTACCTATTACAGATATTTGTTTTTCCCTCAAAAACAAGCATTGACCAACTATTAATTAAACGACCGCATGCTTTTTTTTCCCCCCGAGACCACTTGGCACTTGACGTCTCCATCCTCTGTTTCTAACCTGTAGAATACGACGCGCCCACTGACGTCGTAAGTTAGTAAAATTTATTCATGAAGTGCATTTCACAGCTATAGGTCACTTTACAAAAGCAATATCCTCCTGAGACCCAAACCTTTGTGGGGCATCTTTAATTTCTCCTATCTATTTATGATCAGTAGGACCCGATAAGTATAAAAAAACTAACGAGTACTTCCTAATTAACAGCATCTGAGCTTGTTACTGTTGCAAAAATTGTAAATACAAGCATTATTAATCATAAATAAAGTTTCAAACATAAAATGTGATCAGGTTTTGGGCCTTGTCCACTTTTGCGTCAGGATCGGCTGCAGACTAACTTGGCAGAGATGGCTGCCATCTTGTTTTGACATACTAGATCAGTGTATTACTACCATTAGATGGCACAAAAATGTCTGAGTTAAGTAGGATGAAGTATAAGATCAAGTAAACCCAAAATGTGGAGGATAAACAAGAAAAAAATTGCAGAGACAAAGAGACAACGTGAGCCATGTAGTTAAAAGTGCACAACTAGCAAAATTTTGCACACACAAGAAAAAATACAGCTCTGGTGTGTACAGGTTACCAAACACTAGTCTAAACAGGTGTGTCTTTAGCTGGCGTTTAAAAGAAACCAGAGTCAGCACACTGTAAGGAAGCAGACAGAGCATTCCAAAATTTAGGTACTAGGAGTGGTCGGGAGTGCTATGGACAGACAACAAATTCATTGTATTGGTTCACATCATGGTTTACATTTCAGATCAAGGAAAACCTGTTACTTTTTGGGCTCTGCACCAATTTATGCTTGACCGAAATGTTCCGAATGGTCCAAATTAGGTGTGGGAAGCAGAACGGAATCGGTTCAGTGTTGGTGGAAAAAGGGTGTAATTAGATCTGTCCGTGAGAAATGTGGTAAAGAAAGTGCAATATCACTGAGTGTTCCACTTCAGCGATGTTCTCCAACAGCACCAGAGCAGCTGTCATTACGCACAGCTGTGGCTATTTGTAGCCTCCGTACCAACGAATCATCACATTTCTGCAAACGATCATCGCGGTAACATGTCAATCATCATTATTATTAAACGTTAGAAGGATGATAATTAATTTAAGTGCACATGTTGAAACTGACTTTACAAAGTGCTTCACATAATAACATAAAACCATCACTAACTGGGAGATGAATTTAAAATAAACTTCATAAATGCGCCTTTGACATTTTACAGAACGCCGTGTAGCCTGCAGTAACAACACATCAGTAAAACAACCTTAACACAGGTTATCTTCCTCTCAGCTCATATTGAATCTTGTCCTTATATTACCCACAGGTGTCTCAGCTAAATTCGTGTGCGCACCTGTCTGAAGAATGCCTGAGATGCAGAGGCTCACTGCACGTTTCTTTTATAAAACCAGTTTATGTGTGGGAAAAGGTGTACGCATGGTTTTTGTGTGAACACATCTTCTAAGCACTGTTTTTAAAAAAACATAACAAAAAAAAAACATTTTAAGATAATCATCCCAGTGGTTTAGAATATTTCATTTTCCATTTTCAAAAACATACAATAACATATTAGATCAACTCCCACCTCTAATACAGCCGCTGGCTTTGATTCATTTCAGAGTATGAAATCTAATTTACAGACACCTGCTCAAAACAGGAAGCCCATCACATTTCCTCTGCCGTTGTCAGGCAGAGTTTTACTTTGCTGAGCTGACCAGAACTTTGGAAGATAGCTACATAATTTCTCACTCTGCTCCACTGCTGAAACTTAAAGTTTGGGTATTTTTGCACAGAATGATAATGTGGATTTATGGACAGGAGGAATAACTACAGTGACCGGTAACTCTTTGAATGCACGTCCGGGTACATTGCTATTGTCTCAAGGCAAATCACAATTTAAAATACTTAAACTACGCTCTGGGGAAACTGTCAGTGTGATCTGAAGTGTGCACGGTTTGTAGTTAAACTAAAATTTCCATAATATCTTTTTAACTGGGATGTACTTTATTTACATCAGATTAACTGAGTTGTTCTTTCTCTGAGCAAGAGATGGAAGTAAAATTGTACTTTGGCTTTTTGTTTATGGGATGCATGTGTCTTGAGATTACTGTAAACAGAAGATCAGTATGACTGCGTCTGTTCCTCATGCTTTCCTAAGATGATAAGTTGAACCTTGTATTGTTAATTTTCTTCAGTCTTTGGCACTGTTAGAAAAAGATGTTCTCTAAACTAGATGGATATCATTAGATGTTCAGCATGACTCTGTGACTGTTGTGTTATCGATAGGCAGGTGAAACTGTAAAGTCAGAGCTGTTTAACAAAACTGTTGTTTGATATAAAGACGTCTGAGAGGAGAAATAAGGGAAAGCTCAGTTGAGATATGCGATTCAGAGTGATGTGATTTGGTTAAATGTCTTTGTTTAGTGACACCTTGCTGTTGAGGATCCACAGACTGAGCTAATCCCCGTGCTTCTGCATCAGTGATTTTTTTTTTCTTTTAATGCGCTGTAGTCAGTGACCTGTGTGTGCTTGTGTTTACTTTCTCAGGAGATTATCCAATGCTTTAACACACATTGTTCTATTTAACTTTTTCTGTTTTTACATTGACAAGAAAATTTATCAAAGGATTAAAAAAAGGATTAATAATAACTGGCACATTGTCTTGTCTTCCTTTATTATTATTGTTTAATCATTTTTTATGTTGTCAGCACAGTATCATATAAAGACATCCCACGGTGACATGAATAAATATCCTCCTCATTCTATCAAAATATACTTTCTTATAAATATATAGATGCAGAATATTTAAAAGTAATCAAAGGAATCCTTACACAGCTTAATAGCTTATTTGAATATGTTGTGTTTTTGTTAAAGGGATAGTGCACCCAAAAATGAAAATTCAGCCATTATCTACTCACCCTCATGCCGATGGAGGCTCAGGTGAAGTTTAAGAGTCCTCACATCCCTTGCGGAGATCCAAGGGGGGAGTGGGTAGCAGCACAAATCCACCTAATGCAGGCTGACGGCGCCCCAGATTAAAACTCCAAAAACACATAATTGAAACCACAAAATATCTCGCAGTGCACAGAGAGGCAGTTAGAGCTACAGGCTACAATGAGGCTAAAAACAGAGTTCAAATTATGTTTTTCCAAACAACTTTTTATGTCGGGGCTTCAGGACACTTGGATCACTATGGACAAGCAGTATGGAGATATTTTGTGGTTTCAACTATGTGTTTTTGGACGTTTTAATCTGGGGCGCCGTCAGCGTCCATTAGGTGGAGTTGTGCTGCTACCCACTCCCCCCTCGGATCTCCGCAAGTGTTGTGAGGACTCTAAAACTTCACCTGAGCCTCCCTCGGCATATGGGTGAGTAAATAATGGCTGAATTTTAATTTTTGGGTGCACTATCCCTTTAACAGCCCTAATCCTGCACTCATACACAGATCATGTCAGACAGTCTGAGAGACGTCTTCATCACAAATAACAGAAGAATTATACGTCACAAATGCCCTATAATGATTTAGTGTGGCTGCGTGCGTGCGTGTGTGTGTGGTTAGCTGAAAGCGTCTGCTACTTTTGTAGTTGGATGCGGTGGCGCTCTGTTTTCACAGCAGCAGGAAGCCCATCAGAAGAAACAGAAGGGGCGTGGTGAAGGCTGAGATCCCCTCGACACTCAGAGATGGAGCTCCTGGATGAGACAAAGACTGAATGTAAAGATTTCCTCCTGACGGTCTTTAAGGTCTAATAGAGACAGATCCTCTTAATCATATGTGATATTACAGCAGTGTTTGTGTATGTTCTTACCTGAGTGGTCAGATCTTTGAGTTTGGTAAGGTGACCCGGCCTCGGCGCTCTCAAGAGCGTCCAGCTGCTTCTTTCCCAGGGCACTTCGCTGTTCAGCAGTTACCTTGGCAGCAGCATCAGGTTCAAAAGCCTTCAGCTGATCAGGAGAGAGTTGCTGAAGGGAAAAAAGGAAGTGGTCCAGAGGTCAGAGGAGTGGAATTATTTCCCTTAAGTTAGACAGTGTATTAATACTTTGTTACAAGTAAAAGGGTGTCTGCAGGTCCTTAAAAAGTCTTACATTTTATAAGTATTAGGCCTCAAAAGTCATTAAATAGTCTTAAATTTGCAAGGGTTAAGTCTTAATTGCCATAAACAGTTTATCTAATTACATTATCCATCTTTTTTTGTCAGATTGAGTCAAGCTCTTCTGCACAACAGTCTACATTTTTAATGTTACAATTCTTTAAACGTACTACTGAATTTTTTACTTTAAACTTGTTCTCACCTGTTGGAAATAATGTTGATTAACCTTACTCATTCTGATAACCATAATTCCACACAAAACCTACCTCTGCATGGGACGACATGTACAACTTAGCTTTATACTTACCTGCAAGCTTGACTAAGATAAAGATAGATATTAAATTTGGTAAAAATGTTCTTAAAAAGGTCTTTAAAGGCATTAAATGTAGATGTCTGATACCTGTAGACACCCTGTAAAAATAGTAAAAGTACTCATAATGCAGAATGCACCTGTACATGGTGTTATATACTGTACATGTTTTATCACCGATGCATAACATTGCACCATTTTTGTTGCATTTGCTGGAGGTGGAGCTGATTTCACTGTGTAACTGTCGGATAGTTTAACCCGCATAAACTCTAACCAGCTGTTTATGGAAGAATATTTCACCCTGTCTCTTAATTTAAATCCACTTGTTTAAAATTTTCTGCATCTTGAAACAGATTAAGGCAGGCTGCAAAATTTGATGTGAGAGTTTTCTTTTAACAAGCTGATTTGTAAAATAACTTGCATGGCTGATGGTCAAAGCTAAACCTATATTTTGTATTTAAAAAATGTAAATACACTTGTACTGCACTGCAGTAAAATGTACAACATTGGCCTTTGAAATGTAGCAGAGTAGAGGTATAAATAAATTAGCATGAAATGGGAATATCAAGTCCAAATACCTTCAATCATGTACAGTACTTGATTGAATCTACTTAGTTACCAGATTTGGCAAAAGAAGGACAGAAGAAGTCAGAGGAAGTTACTCACAGCAAAGTTGTCTGGTGCTATCACTGGGATGCACGGGTGGCTGAGAAAAGGAAAGACAGACGGGTCTAAAGAAGCCAACTCCGTTCCATTCAACCCAGCTGAGGGAGACACAAACAGAACAAAAACTAGTTCCTGCAGCAGCCAACAGTTTACAGTACTTCTGAGGAATACTACAATGCCATTTGGTTTCCTGCAGAGAACACGTGGTAGAGGGGATGATCTCACCAATGATGGTGCCCAGGTCAGACACTTGAGCTTCAGGCCAGGTGTTGGGATTTCCAAATGCAGACACAGCAAGACTCTTCAGGCGTCGTGCAGCCGTGGGGGGGAACTGGACATCATCCATTGAGCCCACAGCTTCCCTGTGACACACACACACGATAACATAGTCAGAATATTTTATTCTCCTCTACAGAATGCAGACTCTGTGAATTCAACAAAAAGCTGTGACCATGACATCATATTTACTAAAAAGTATTTATGCATCCAAAATTATTTGTTAGTGTTGCTCCATAAATGGGACATTGAGAGCAGAGATTAAAGGAACAGTGCACATCAAAATCAATGTTTGTCTTGCTTGTAGTGCCATTTAATCTAGATTGGTTTTGTTGTGAGTTGCAGAGTGTTGGAAATATCGGCCGTAGAGATGTCTGTCTTCTCTTTAATATAGTTAAATTAGATGTCACTCAGCTTGTGATGCTCAAAGTGCCAAAAAGATACATTTGAAAAACTCAGCAGCAATGTCTCTTTCCAGAAATCATGACCCGGTTACTCAAGATAACCCACAGACCTTGTTGTGAGTGCCACCAAGTTCCATTATATTTAAGAGAAGGCAGACACGTCTACAGCAGATTTCTTGTACATGATAAAAATGTATTTTTGATTTTGGCGTGAACTGTCTCTTCAGGGGAAAAGGGCACCAAAATTCTTGCAGAGATAGTTTAGGTTAAGTAAAACGTTTAACTGCATGAGACAAAGACAGAGTTTGTGTAGTATTTTTCTTTCTCTCCCTCTCTATAATGATCTAAAAGAACTTGCAGTGAATTCTGTATGATGCACAAACCTGAAGGCGTCCATGTCAAGCTGACTGATCTCGTCGGGGTCTAGGCCACACATGAACTGGTTCAGTTCTACCATGTCAGCAGCTCCCAGCTGTTGCGCTGTCAGGTTGTTATACTTAGCGACGCCCCTCCACACCGACTTCATCTATTCAGGCAGGTCATCTTGATGAGTTATGATCACAATAATCAGTGTAATAGTCATGAGCATATGAAGCTAGGTTTGTACTTCACCTGTGACTCTTTCCAGCCACACTTGGCAATGTTCTCCAGAGAGTCCAGTGGGATGGGGAGCTCCTCCAGGTCTGCGTCTGAGAAGCCCCGAATTATACATCCTAACTGCATCACCACACTCTCGGTCATCTGGGACACTGGGCCCAAGGTCTTTGGGAACACAGTGGTACACTTATGATTCAAATGAATCAGACTTTCACTCAGGAAATTATTGTGATGAAAAGCATTTCTGGATTTCTATACGCACGCACGATAGATGTTACGTGACACGTACCAACCACCCACACACTGTTGCAGACAGAGTACCCCCCTCATGGCAACAGCACTATTCGATGGCAGAACCATCAGGATGACAATGTGCCATAAGACAGTGCAAAAATTGCTCAGGAATGACGCGCGGAACGTGACAAAGAGCTCAAGGTGCCGACCTGGCCTCCATATTCCCCAGATCCCAATCTGATGGCACATCTGTGGGATGTGCTGCTACCACACCTCGCAACCCACAAGACTCAAAGCATCTTGTGCCAACGTGGTGCCAGACACCACAAAAGTTCTTTGTCCATACCGGGCATTTGGACGCCAGGTTGGCACCTTGAGCTCTTTGAGTTTTGAACATAAGTCATCAGAATACTGTTTCATACTGAGGGACAGTACAAAGATTATGGCCCTGTACCAGCCCCTAGTTAGGCTTAGTCTGCTGGAGGACCCCCCCTATAATACACCGGGCATCTCTCTCTCTCTCTCTCTCTCTCTCTCTCTCTCTCTCTCTCTCTCACACACACACACACACGCACACACACATCTATTGCACGTCTGTCCGTCCTGGAAGAGGGATCCCTCCTCAGTTGCTCTTCCTGTGGTTTCTACCGTTTTTTTTTTTCCCCCTGTTAAAAGGGTTTTTTTTGGGGGGGGGGGAGTTTTTCCTTATCCGCTGCGAGGGTCCAAAGGACAGAGGGATGTCGTATGCTGTAAAGCCCTGTGAGGCAAATTGTGATTTGTGATATTGGGCTTTATAAATAAAATTGATTGACTGATTAGCAAGGATTTTATAATTAAACAAGCTGTACCCATTCAACTCTGTTAAATTATTTTGAGAAATTATGGGTAAGGGAGGGTGGCGTTTTTCAAAGAGAGGGTCTATTCAAAATTTTAATTTAAAGCCCTCTTTAAAGCTGAAGAGGGCCTTGCTTTGTTAAAAAGTCAAAGTTTACCGCTTTTTTTTGTACCCTGCTCAACGACCCAAAGAATAAAAAAAACAAACAGAAATATCAGAATGAGAAAAAACTATAAATTGTCCGTCTCCTTCTATACCTGCAGTGGAGGAGTCCTCTGCTTCCAGAATGAACAAACCTCCACTATACCTCATTTGCTTTTTTGCTGAGCACAGCTAGTTGGTTTGCATTGAAGCCACAGACATCCCCAAGGACTTCGAAAACAGCCAGGAAGGTCTCGGCTGACATCTCTTCCAGCTGTGCTGCTGTCCAGTAGACATTGTCCATTTGTAGTTCTTCAATCAACTCCACAGTGGGTTTCTTATTGTTGGCTGAGAGAGACACACTGAATGTGAGACACAGAAAAATGAAGTAGAACACTGCATCACCAATTTTTTGCGCAGTATCACTATTACCGGTGATGAGATCGAAGCATTTCTTTCTCAGGGCATCCGGGGCATGGAACAGGTTCGACTTCAGGGAACAGAGAATGTCCTTCATCCAAGGCTGACAGAGACAGACGGAGAGAAGGAGAACAAACAAAAAGCTCTCATGAGAAAAATATGCATGATTCATGGCAACCAGAAGAGCGCAGTGCTTAACTCCCTCCTTATTTTGAGTAATTTATTGATGAAAATGTGGGACACTGTGAGCTGCATCACTGTCCAGATGGTGCGTGAAGACAACAAAAGATACAAACCTTATTGGGCAGAGCTGATGTAGCACTGTCATTCAAAAAGAGGAGGGGACCCAGTGCTTCCAAATCCTCAGCTGACATATTAGATGGATCCCTGCAGGGGATGAAGAGAAAGCAAAATTATAGCCACGCAGTTGAATGCCTCCGCTAACCACATCCATGTCTGTCCAGACTCATATAATACATGTAGCCAAGACTTGGACGAAAATAATTAAAAATATATTAACTGATTTTTTTTTTGGTAAAAACAGAGGACTGATGGAGAGCTTCATCACATGGTGCAACAACAATCACCTGAAGCTCAATATCAGCAAAACCACTGGGAATGTGGTTGGACTACCAGAGGAACAGGACAGAACACAAAGTTACAGCCAGTAGACAATGGTTCAAATATGGATGTTGCTGCAAAGAAGCTGCAAATTCTAAAACATAGATGCTTGGCACACATCGTCAACGCGACACCGTGGAAGATCTAAACAATCACAACAGTTTCGAGATGTACACCCACGATCATGTCACCAATTCACTATCTCACAAAATGTCTGTTTCTGAGTTATGGTGGTGAATGACAGCCAGAAAAGTGTTTAATGCAGAACATTATGACATCACAGTGAAGTTGACCTTTGTTCTTTTGGATATAAAATGGCACCACTTCATAATCAATTCGATGTTTGTGTGAATTTTGGTCAGGATTAGGGTACGAGTTTGACCACCAAAATCTAATCAGTTTATTCTTAAGTACAGGTGAACGTTTGTGCCAAATTTTAAGTACTTCCGTCAAAGGGGTTCCTAAGATATCAAGTTCATGAGAACAAGATGGACAAAGTCAAAAACATAACGCCTCTGCACCTGTGACAGCCGTGGCCAGAGGCATTATGTTCTTTTATAAAAATACATCACATTCTAGCTTTCTCTGCAGTAACTCCAGTGTCCACAGGGAGCCTGTCCCTACCCAAAAGTCTGCGTGACCAGCTGAGTTATTTCTGCCCTGTGGCGTTGAGGAATGTACTGGCAGTCAGCCATGTCCTGGAGTACGGAGCTCCGGACATCAGGGGCCATTTTGAGCAGTTGGGAAGACTGAAGCTCACACAGAAGAGGTTTGAGGCTGGACACATCCTCATCGGTCAGCCGAGATAAGTTTGTCCCCTGCAAGCACACATTAAATACCTGAGGCTGTTGTTGAACTCACACGAGACTCACAATGTGATAATAATAGGTGTGTAGCAGGTAGGTATAGGCAGGGGACAATTTCAAGAAAAAACCTCAATAATAAATAAGAATACAAACATATTGAATGTTGTTTCTTCACCCAGAGGTTTGGAATGTTATTATATGGCCTTCCCAGTCACCTATGAAATTTTTTGGACCAATGTGTTAAGACAGCCACCATCATCTACACCAAATGAGGTAATATCTTTTGGTTGAGTTTTGCTGCTCTGACAGTTCGTGGTGGCTCAACACCATTTATGTCGGCTTCTCTTTCATTTGTCACCCCTCTATATCCTTGTGTGTACTTTGGCCAGGCAAAGCAGTGCTCTCTCGGTGAGTGCAGGGCGAGACGGGGAATGATGAGGTAACAAGCTCAGGTCGGCCTCTTCGATCTTGTCGATGAAGGTGGGACACACAGAGTCAGGCAAATCCTTTATCTTCAAAGGCCTGTGATAGTGTAGGTAAAAGACAGATAGAGAGCTGTTACATTTTATTTATATTTTTGTTTTTTCTTAAATAAAAGTGATAAAGAGAAAAGACTGTTTACGGCAGGTGAAGAAGTAAACATGTGGGAATGTTTTTCATCTCCTCCTCAGTGATGGTTTTGAAATAGTCGGCTCTCTCTTTCTCCAAAGTCGCAAAAAGCTTTTGGGCAACACATCCTGCCTGAAAACGTATATTTGTTATCAGTTGGTACATTCTACACATGCTTTATTTACATGACTGTACATACTGTGTGGGTAAGTAAATACATTAATACCTGCAGTTTGGAGACCCACTGTGGAGTCTCTGTTATGGCCTGAGCCATGTCTTTTGTGTCGCTGTCTGCTACTTCGTCGATCATCTTACAGGTTACTCCCCGAATAAGTGAATGCAGTCTCCTGTCACAGCAAATATTGTTTTGAGTCTAAGCGTGTAAAGCAATGGCAGACATGTACACACAGTTATAAGAATATGCAGTTAACTGAAACACCAAACAATAAATGTAAGCCTGCATTTAACATGAATTTGGGAAAAATTGCTTTTGTTTTTATTATCACGTTTTTTATGGTGATGATTCAAGTCAGGTGTCATTTTTTCATCAGAAACTGTCTTCTGCCGATGTTAGAACATTTTTGGGTTTTAATCTTCTAATTTATTTTAATATACTATAATAAAAAATGTTTTAGAGGACTGAGAATGTTATTTGCTTATTTGGTGACCAGGATTAAATGTTAGACCACTGGTTCTCAAACTGTGGTAAGTGTATCATGATGGTACGCAAGCTCCCTCTAGTGGTACACAGAGGAATCTCCAAAATTATTTTAAAAAATTAAATTAATTTAAATACATATACTACAACATTTCGGATACAAGTTATCACTGAAATACAATTATAAGTTTAGCCTTTTCTGTAATATTTTTGTTTCCATATCAGCCTGCTACACAGTCACTTTCATGAACAAAGCTCACGCAGACATTCATGATTAGTTATGAGCTAAAGTCATACACTGTAAAACTCTGACCATATTTGGATGACAAGCTGAAGCTGTGGAGGAGTGAGAATTGGATCTGACTCAGACTGTGGTGACGCCTTGCAGACAGCTTGTCACTCATGCCACCACGCCCTTAAATAGGCATAACTTTGGGCCTTGATAAAATCTAAACAGCTATAAAAATTAACCCACGGTACCGTCATCATGAATGTTGAAATAAGCTATAGAGACCAAAAATGTTGTAACATGGGGGTCTATGGGGATTTATTCTGTTTTGGAGCCAGCCTCCAGTGGCCATTCATGGTACTGTAGTTTTAGAGGCACTTCCACATTGGCTCCATTTTTCAGTCTCGGAGGTTGTCACTTGGCTTAAGTATGATGACAAGACAGTGAGTAGAGGTAAAATTAATGGTTTAAAAAAACTGCAATTGTGACTTTTAAGAAGAGAGGTGCGGATCAGGGGGAGAATATTTCCAGCAGCTCTGTTGAAACTGACACAGACAACAATCAACTGAGCACAAGTGCTAGTGGCTACTTTGGAGTGAAGTCTCCACGGCACCTGATGAGGGGCTGGCCCTTGCAGTGTATGAGAGTTATGTGGAGGAGTTTAAGTGCCAGTTCTAGTGCTGCCTCTTTGTACAGTATTGCTGTTGCTAACAACAGTCAATAATAAATAATCTTATGAATGAGAATAAAGCTGCCTCCTGCATCAACTGTTCAAAGCTGAGTAGGGTAGGCCTATGCTGCTGTATTTTAACGTCGGACATAGCGGTGGTGGTACTTTGAGAGCCTAATATTTTTTTAAAGTGGTAAGCGGTGCAAAAAGTTTGAGAACCAGTGTTTTAGACATAATGAATATTTGAAACCAAGTTTTCAAGTGCTTTAATGCAGGATTGTCAGTTACTGTTTGTGAACATGCACGGACCAACCCCAGATTCACTCCTGTTTGGCGTTTCGCCTCACTGTACTTACTACTGATGCAACTTAACATACTGAACACAGAAAATAAGATGAAATTAAGAAAATACAGGCAGAGGATAGAGAAAGCACACCACTATAGTCTTCTAGTGGGTCGTACGTGATGACTGAGAAAGACTCCTGTATGAGTCTGTACGTTGTTTTTAAGGACAATCCTGCATAGTATATCTTTAATGACTTGAGAGTGACCACTTTCAATCAACATCTGCAGTCACAATAAAAACCACTGTAGCCTTGTCAGATGTTTTTATTGCATGGCTTTTGTATTTCATTGTATTGAATGGGGTTTCCTTTATTTTGTTCACTGCTGTATAACTTACTTGTACCAAGGCTTCTTTGAATTATACAACTTTTTGACCAGGAAAGCTGCCTAGAAAGAAGACAACAGTGAGAAATATTCTATCAATTTTCAGTAAATACAACTCATTACTTAACTTAATTACTAACTCTGGACTGGCAGCCTGACCCACCTGAGGCCACTCTGGGGTCTATGAGTGACACTGCTCTGAACTCTGACAGAGATAAATGGCTGGTGCATCTTGTTACTATGTTGGCTAAAAAATGTATTTTGCAGCTGTGGAGGTCTGATGCTGTGACCTCATTTAAGATGTGGCTGAAAGAGCTAAGTGAGATCCTCCACTGGGAGGGGCTTAGATTCCAGATTTCAGAAAGGTAGGCAGTGTTTGATAAGGCATGGAGACCAATGTTGAGACATTTAAGGGGTCTGAGAGAGGATGAAGGTGTGGGATGAAGGATCAACAATATTAATATGTGTGTTTATTTGTTTTACACTTCTTTCCTTTCCATTTTTCTCTCATTTTGCTCTCTTGGATTGTCTTCTTGTTTCTCATTCTTGCTTTCTAACCACCTTTCCCATTAAAATGTGTTTAAAAACTGTCAAACAATTATAATTGTATGGGTTTTTTTTATGATGCTCTAATAATGAACTAATACAATTATAAAATCTTCTGTAATCCAGATTGTCGTATAGTGAATGCATCAAGAACAGTAATAATTACAATATAAACAAAGATGAAGTCGGATAATTCAGAGTATAACAGAAAAAAATGTGTTAATGGTTCAGTGCTGTTCACAGAAAGCAGGTTTTTGGGGAAATTACCTGTGACCGCTTCCATTCTTTATTCACCACTTGGTCCCAAGAGGTGATGTTTCCTTTCCTCAGTTTGTCTAGAGAAAGGCTGCAAAGCAAAGCACCAGGCAACTTCTTCACCAGCTGTAGGAGATCCACATCTCCAAAAGACTGCAGGGAAACACAGGGTATATGAATGGTATCACAGGTAACACACCTAACCTTTTATTTGTTGTTCTCTCCAGTGGTGTAGTGGTAGTTGATGAGGTGGGTGTACTGCTAGGTACATAGGTAGGTTACCGATGAAGAAGTGGGCATACTCTCCTATATATTACAATGGCTTTTTAGCTGATAGACGGGTATACTGTAACTGGATAGAAAAAGAAGTGGGACACCCTGTATACCTGAGTATACCCTCCACTACACCACTGGCTCTCTCTGGATCCATTTTCTCAGTAACGTTAGCATCCATTTTCTGCTTCTGTATCCTTACTCACCCCCTGCAGCAAGGCCATCCGCTGCCCCTTCCTCATCCACTTGGAGATCCTCTTTAGGCCCTCGGTATCATTCAGGATCTCCTTGACATGCCTGAACATAAAGGTTGGCAATCCCCCTACAACTGGCTGAAGGTCCATCAGCTCTTTGCCAGAAACCTTTCCGAACTAAGGGAAAGCAGAGTGAGTTAAGTATAGAGTGAGAGTGTGCGAGAGAGAAGCCTCCAGCAGCTGAGCAGACTCACCTTTTTGTCCATCAGTTTCTTGGCGAGGGCCCGCAGCTGGGCCGGCCTCCATCGGATGGTGAGATTTCCAGAAGAACTCAAATTTTTCAGAACTTCTTTGAGATCTTTGTCAGGGAACTCGCTCAGTTGTTTGGGAGACAACAAGGCAATACTTCTGCCCAGCATGTGTAATGCTTCAGAGCCATTGGTATGTGACGCCACAATCTTGACGAGGCGTTTCCTCAGCTTGAGCCAGGGTAAAAAGACAGAGTAATTGAGAGGTTGCTAAGGTTCATTTAATTTGTTACTTCTGTCTTTGCTGAGGGTGGATATAGGTGAAAGTTTGGGTGAGTGAATGATACCCCTGTGATGCCTCGGTTGCCGCAGTCCTTGCGATCGTTCAGCTCAGAGAGGAGTTTCCAGCTGAGGTCAAGTGTCAAGTTTGGACCAGCAGAATAATGACAGACCAGTATGCCGAGCCTGATGAGGTTCAAAGCAAACATTTTGTGATGATTACGACCTTGAAATTCAATTAGCTCTCTATAATGTTGAGGACATTCATTTGTAGTCAGTGTTATTATCATTAAAGCTGTAGCTGGTTACTATCATAAAAATATCATTTTGTAATTTTTGCTAAAATGGTTTCACAGAAGCGCGTGAAACAGATCGTCTGTACAAGAAAAATCACGTCCAACCTCCTCATAGTGCTACTAATGGCATTTGCTAGAATCTAGAAAGTTTACAAGCAGTGACTGACATGACTGACAGCTGCTTTAGAGACTCCTCAGCTCGAACTGGTTGTTTTTGTTCAAGCGCAGTAGATGGTAAAACTCTGGAAAATATGGGCCGGTATTCACAAACATTCTGACAACACTCTCAGAGAGCTCTTAACTCAGCCTAAAAATGTTTAGTGAGGAGTCCTTGCTTTGGAGTGATTTAGGGACGTTCTCAGAGCAACTCTGAGCAAGGAAGGGACAGAAACTTTTACCTGAGTGAGGAGGCGTGGTTGACCTGTTGTTAGGTGTGATCCATTCTTTTAATAGGTGTGATTGGTTGTCACAGACATGCCTCTTTGTGAGCCTGCAAGATACTCTTAAGCCTCTTAAAAGTCCTCCTCCCTACTCCTAACAGTTTTTCACCGTAGGAGCTCTTTTAAGGTCTGAGATGCTCTGTGAATGACTTTTATCTTTACAAGGACCTAGTCATAACTTTAAGGGGAATCCTAAGACCACATCATGATTTTAAGAATTTTCTTTACCGCTAGGAGCAACTCTTTGTGCTAGAAAGCTTTGTGAGGACGGCCCCTGATTTTATCTAAAACAGGAGTTATGTAAGGGTAGAGCTTTGCCAGCAATATTCTGATGGAGTTTTTATGATTTTAGCCTTAACTTCTATTACTTGTTTTTACTGTAATTTTGTTTTAAAAGGTGCTTTATAAATGACAAAATATCATTATGCACTGATGTACACACATCCATGCATGAATACACACTTGTCCACATTCATAGCAAGCTCCTCTTCACGGAAGCACCCTTGACTTTTTTGCAGCAACTTTTTGCCCAGACTGGGATTCATCTTGGTGGTCATACTCGTGGCGGATTTGAACTGGCCTGAGTGGAAATATTTACACAGCTGAAAGAGAAAGTAAAGAGAAAAAACAAATAGAGCTACAAATTAAAATTAAACAAAAATTAAAATCTTGTCGTTTGCTATTTTCAGTTTTACTGGTTCTTTGTCCTTCTCTGCAGCCCCCCTCACCTGTTCTTTGGGAGCAGGATCAACATCGCTTGGGTCTAAAAGGGAGATGTAAGGTCCCATCATGCTCAGCGTCTCTGCGTTCAGCCATTCCAGTGAGGGTTTGCAGTTCTTTATCGGCACTACAAAATAAATAATGCTGTTGCAAGTCACATTCATACTTAACAGAAAGGTTATGACAGAATAGAGGCAGGAAACAAGGTGTCACAACGAGCTACTAGGGATTTAGGGGTAAGATTTGAGTGTCTTTCTAGATCCACAAGCACTGATTACTGTCACCAGTGCTGGAGACTATCACCTGCCGGCAGCACTTGACATGGTCTTTGATTTGCATGATTTTCAGAATTTAAACCCCATTTAAACAATCACATTTGCTAACAAACACACAAAACAGATGAAGTGTTTGTGACGCAAACTATCCCTCACTGTACTTTGTTTTGGCTCCTATCACATTTCCTCCCGCCTGCTTTGAATGATTTGCAAATAAGAGGCTGCCTTTTGCTTGTCTACTTCCTGCTCTTCCTCTGCATGTTATTCTCATTCGGTTTGCTTTATTTTAGCTGCATCGTTTGCCTTTTTTCTGCTTATTTCCCTCTTTCCTTTTCTCTACAGCCACTTCATCTCTCAAGCCCTTGTGTTTCCTGTTTAGGCACTTCTACTTTAGAAGGTCTTTCCCTCTGTCTCTTACACTTTGTGCGTCCAATCTTTTCTAGCTTCACTGCCCTGTTTTATTTCTGTTTAACATGAGAGTATGAATTAATCTGATCTTATCATGAAGAGATGATGGTGACTATATTGGAATGCTTGATTAGATTTTATTGGAAAATGTAGTTTCTGCTTTGACAGGCTCGACTAATTTCTTACTTGATTTTGAGTCAGATGGCAGCCTCCTTGTACAGTTGAAATACTTCTGGGCAATCTGTTCTTTTACCCATTTCACCATCTTTCTCTTTTGTTGTTTAGACATGGCACCATGCTCCTCGTTCATTATCTCCATCCTGAAACCAACCAACCATTTTACAATTTTAAGAAAGATTGCTGAGAAACACCTGAAGAAGTAGCTGCATCGCACACTTACGTCTTGTTCAGGTCAACATTGGGAGGAAGATTCATTCCTCTAAACAGCATATACTTCAGGGCAGGTTTGGCAGCCCATTGCAGTGTGTTGTAGTCGTCTGTGGTCATGTTGTTGTCGCAGTGAGAGGTCAGAATCTTCAAGGACAGAGGAGCCACAAATGCTTGCATATAACATGCAGACGCCGCCTGAGGGAATGAGAAAGAAGGCAGGAATCATTAGACCACCAGACAGCTGCATGGTTAATGGATTATGTTTAAGATCTTGCCATTAGTGGGGAGTACTGACAGGGGAGTTTCTCATCAGCTTGATCATGGTTAGAAGACTGCGGAGTTTCAAATTCTTGTTTGGCTGAAAAGATGCAAAGAGGACAAAACAACAATTAATGTATGCAGAGACTAAGACAGGTCCAGTTAAAACAAATAAATAAAATATCCCATCAACGATTTCAATAACCAACAATTATTTTCATCATTTTAACGTGAAGAAATATCATGTTTAAAGTGCTTGAGTGTGTTTGTGCATGTGTATTCTCACCATTGTGTTGACTTGTGGGTCTTTGTTGGCTTTGGCAGGACGGACTGATTGGAGCATTTGGAGAAAATCAGGTATGATGGCGTTGGATTCCTCAGGGTCTCTGTCTGCCACGGGCAAGTCACTGACAAAGAGTGGAAATATTTTTTTGGTGCGTAAAATGGTTTTAAATATTTGGTGTTGTGTTTTGTTTGTTCATTAATTTCATCCTTTAGATAGGATCATTACAATTCTGGGGAGAACAAGACACGTTCAAGATCATAAAACATTGTACACTCTGTATTGTTCACTTGTTTTAGCATATCTTCATTACTGTGTGGAGTTGTGGGGGCAAAATCAATCATTATACATTCCACAAAAAGAGCCCTAAAGATAGTAAACAATATTGGAAATTTGGAACATAGAAACCATCTGTTTTTAAAACTCTGGTGGCATTTAAAACTACAAACAATGTACGAAGCAAGAAATATTTACTGCCTGGTAATATACAGAAAAATGATCAGTGAAGCAGCGTTTTGTTAACATGCAGCACAAACCTGGAGTAACCTCCTAGATGATGTCAGACAACCCCCGACTCTGAACACTTCTAAGTCAAAGCTACAAACCTTACTTTTTTTACACAGCCTACTCCATCCTATAATAACTGCAAACTTATTTTTAAATTCAATTTTAAATCATTTTAAATAATCTTTATCTTTGCACCTCTTGTCTGCTATTTTTAATCTTTTTTTTTTTAAAAGTATAAATCATTTGGTAATTAATTCTACCTTTTCTATCTTTTTTTGTCTGTACTCTTCTGTATCCTTTATTATCTTTTATATTTTATTGCTCTGTAAAGAATTGCCCTGGTGTATCAGATGTGCTATACAAATAAAGCTGCCTTGCCAAAAAGAAAAATTTAATTTGAAATAATACTGTGTTCACACCCATCCTAGAAGTACGTGCATTTCTATTTGTGGGGTGGTTTTGTGGAATGGATTGGAGAAAAAAGTCAAAGTAAAAATGTCACACAGTTTACAAAGATGTACATAAAAATATTTTTTGTGAGGTACAGAACTGAGGAAGTTTAATACAAAGCATGGGTAGTGTTGCTAATTATGTATACAGAGGCTGTAGGGATGGACACTGGGGCTGATAGTTGGTATAGAATACTGTTCAGACTAGACAAGCATGATGCTTCTTCTTGCCTCATTTCAGACATGAAACATTAATTTATGTTGCTTAATGAAAGTCTGTTGTATTTTTTTTACTGTAATCTATTGTTAATGACATTTTTTTTTTACAAACACACACATATTATATATGTATAAAGCATATTCATACCATTTCAATTCAGTCTTTTAATCATCCAGTGAAATTCTGTTGAACCCTTTTTCACTTCTCTGGCAACTTTACTTCAAATTTGCTATTATAATTATAAATATAAACAGGCAGCAAAACATTTATTAAGCTTGAAAAAAAAAACAACAAGAAAAATATTTGCCTCTTCCAGAAATTACCTGTTTCTGTAGAGAGCTTTCAGCTCCATCAGCTCAGGCGCCTCGTATCCTGGTAACACAGTAACCCTCCATTATTTGTATGTTTCACAGTTAAAAGACATCAGGGTGTTTGCCATGTATTAGTAGGGACTCATGTTACAGAGGGCACTCATAATGCATGCAAACATACACTCTCACATTCACACAGTAAGGGCTGGGATAAGGATTTGGCAGTGAATTAGCTCTGTCTACTGTTGCAAACACTCTCCTTTCCTCTGTCTTTTATACACAAATTTATTGAATTAAAAAAAAAGTCTCAAAAAGTACTTTGAGAGTTTCCTCACCCTTTTTAATGCAAGTCTTCATCTGATGAAAAAAAGACAGACATAACATCATCAGATGTTTAAGTCAAAGGCACAGAGGGTGTTTATGGAGCTGAAACAGCTTTGTTGAAGGTACTGATGTGCAACTAGTAACTCATAGCACACAACAATTTTACTCTCTGAAGAATGGAAATTAAGAAGTTTTAAAGGTCCAGTGTGTAGGATTTAGGGGAATATATTAGCAGAAATGGAATATAATAAGTGAGTTTTCTTTAGTGTATAATCACCAGAAAATAACAATCGTCGCGTTTTTGGTACCTTAGAATAAGCTGTTTATATCTACCAAACAGCAACCTCCGTGACAGAAAAATGATGCCAATGCAAAGTCCTTGCTTTTCACAACCTTATTGTGATATTGCAAAATTGACTGAAGTCAAAAAACTGTGACAGAGAAAGCTTAATGAGAATCTCAAAGCAAACAAATGTCCATTAAATTACATACCAGTTTTTTAGATATTTTCTTGAAGTCAGGTTTTTCTTCAGGCATCTCACCTGGTGGCTCAGCTGAACAGGTAATAATGACTTAAGACACATTTATGTATACACAAACAACATGGATGCATTTTGCCATTTTTAAGGAGATGATGATGGCGTTGCTGCTTACCCAAGGCGGCACTGGACACGATGAGTAAAAAGAAAAACGTTCCTCCTTTTGGGGCCATGGTGAAAACACCAGCCTGCCTGTGTCTGTTGAGCATGAGGACAAAGTGAGCATTACAATCAACCCATTTTAAAAGTGATTTTGACTTAGATTTGCATTTTTTGCATTTTGCTTTGACATATTTTTCTTTCTGTAATATTTATTAGATCTCTAGGTGTTATGGAGCCTGTCTCCATGTGAGCCACCGCCAGTTTTCTGACATACTTCCACCTCTGAGGATTGGTGATCTAGTTACCACCCTTGGTACTCATCCTACGGGAGACTTTGGAGGGTAACGCCCTGTGAAAAACATGTTCAGTAACATACATGATGTACTTTTCAGCTTCTCCCCTCTTCCTCCATCACCTCTGCCATTGCCTCTCACATATTGCTGTTCCCTGTAAAACATTTGCATGATGGTATTTTGCCTTCATACGATTTGTTTACTTTCCATTGATTTGACTTGTCATTTAAATATGCCTGATGATTACCAGGAATGGTATACTAAAAATAACAACATAGGAATATTAACCTCTCTTATAACAAATTGTCTTTTAAAGTCAGACAGCCCTTTATTGCTGAATTATTTACTTGCTGGTTATATAATCACAGGTGTGTATCAGTCATCAAAAAATATAAAGAATATTTAGACATACAAAATAAGTAACCATTAAAACACACCAAAAAACATCTGTATTATACCTATACATATCACCAATGTTACTGCCTCAACAATTACATATCTGAAAGTATCAACACATCACAAAAATTTAAAAATAACTTACTGATTTATGTGAAAATTAGTTTCTACTTACATGATCTGTGTCTGCTCCCAAGTAGATCCTAGAAACAATGCAATTTAAAAAGAGGATGTCGGCAAAGTGATGATGTGCCTTTTGATCATCTGCCTCTGCCTCGTCTCATGTGAGTTGGTTGGGTGGTTACCTGTACTCAACTGAGTCGAAGCAGGTGCATGGTATTAAAATGCTAGGGGTGTGTTTGTTTGTGTGTGTGTGTGTGTGTGTGTGTGTGTGTGTGTGTGTGTGTGTGTTAGAGAGACAGGAAGACAGACAGCGTTCATGAATATTTCTGATGTCAACCAAATGAAAACATCACTGTTAAGAGGTAGCATCAAGGTATAATAATCCTATAAATCTTATCAAGTGTAAAGTTGCAGCTTTTATTCTAATCTTTTCATAAAACCATACAAATGTGACACCATGACACACAAGCCGAAAGAGACAAGTGGACGATAGAGCAATTGTATATTTATTTTTAAGCTTATATAATAGGATGTCATGATTATTCATCAGATCGTACGTCGTTTGGATGGATGGGCTGACAAAATCCACACAACAAAACCAAATTGGAATTATGGAACTAAAAGCTAAGTAACAAATAAAGGAAGATAACCACAAAACAGAAGCTCTATTCATACACCCCATGGAGGAAGAAGGCAAACATAAACATCTTTTGAGTACAGATCAGTGACCCCGAGCACATCTGAATGTTAAGGCCATTGCAAAAGTAATCTGGGTTAAGGTGCAGCTGAAATGGCTGACGGATACTAAATCCAACAAACACAATATGGAATGAAAAAAGACTACATTTATCTCTAGAAATTCAAAGTCAGTAAAGTCTGTGACATTTTCACCTTTATACATGTTTTTGCAGTCTATAATTTTTCCTTCACACACATAAATGTGAATCCAATTTTCCAATAGCACAAAAATGTCTTTAAAAAGAGAACAGGATATGGAAAAATGACAGCAGGGAAGGAATGTGAGAGGAGGAGAAAGAGAGAAAAACTGTTTGTAGCGTCATCATGAAATAAGTAAATAGAGTAAATATCATATCTTGACTGGTCCGTGTCCAGATCAGTGCAGACTACAGCAACTGGGCCCACTATGCAGATAACAAATACTGACAGTTCTGGTAGAAGACGTAGTTGCAAGCCATAAACACAAACTCCAGCCCTCAGCAAATCCCTTCACAATCATGTTGGTGATGTGACAACATGATGTGACAAACAGCACAGTGTGCTGTACACATAATACCCACAGGACATCCTCTTCTCATTAACCTTTAATCATGCCGATTAGGAACAGCCGTTACCATCTTCCCTGTTAGCTGGCTTCCTGTGTGCGTATGATAGGAGATCTGACAGTAATGTTATCAACTGAACAGTAGTGGGCTGACATTAATGTATTTGTGTCTTTGTTGCTACTAAAATAGAGTCCATACATACGAACTGTTGCTCTGTACAGAGAAAGACACAAAGGAGAAGCACAGCATCTGTTGGATGTGTTTTAGTCCATGTTTCCTTCCATTTTGGAGCCAATAACCTCATGAAGGTTTGGGTTGGTGAAGTGATCTGAAAAAGACCATTGACACTTGTTAGTGGGTGAGATTAAGTTTGTGCTTACAGTATTGTTGATTTGGATATCATTACCGTGACGACAGCTACTCTCTCTCTTTTTATTTAACATCTTTGATGCCCCTGACTAGGTATGGGCACTGATAAGATTTTATTGATACCAATGACATTATCAATTCTGCTTATTGGTCCCATTCTTTATCAGTTTCCTTTTGGATTTCTGATCAGTTGTCAGTGTGGAAAACAGTGGGCCTACATAGGTTTTCAGTGTCAACGACATTGTTTTATTATCTCTGAGTCTGAACACAGTGTAGAAACAGTAGAAAAAGGGCATGAATGTGACTTGGGTCATCATCCAAAATGGATGAAATTAGAGAACAGTTGTTCAGCATGCATTTTTATTTAGGTTATTTTAGTCAAAGAAAAATCTGCTAGGCCTGCCAGCATGGTGCTCATGTAAATATAATGACATTTACCCTCGATAATGGACGGGCTGCTTGGTTGTAAAGCAGTGACACTTGTGCGTTGAGTGTCAAACACATGGCATTTTTGGAATTTAGGGTTCAGTTTATTGTTGGTGTTACCACCCTGGCTTGAAATTATGACTTTACAGACATTACAAGCAGCACTGTTGCCATCTTTGGACTGTTTCCTCCTCTCCATCATGACTCCTTCATGTTGCAAGTCTAGATGCATGAGTTTGATTTCACTGTTCTGCAAAGTGCAGCTGTCAGAAAAACATGTCAGCAGCAATAAAAGCAACTGATAGACTTGGAGGCATTCGATCCTGATGGGGAGGACAATTTGGAACTGGTTCTCTACTGGAACGAGTCTCAATTCCCATCCCCTCCCCTGACCTTTCTGATGTCACCCAGCGTATCAGTGTGGCTCACGATGTGTGTAATTGTTTTATTTGGAAAATTAAGAGCCTGTTTAGACCTGGTATTAACATGCATTTTGGGTGATCCAATCGCAAGTGGACAGTGCTAAATACAGGTCTAAATAACAACAAAGATGCGCTGTAATTGGATTACTCAAACCACTTGCCGAGGTGGTCTATAACGCATTTGACCACTTATCTTTGTAGTGTACACACTAATGCCTCCTGATGCATCCCCAACAAGGAACAGGTCATCGGTGCAGGACGTGGTGGTTATTTTGGTGACAGTGCGAACATCCCTTCTTTTGCCCTATGGAGGGAGATGTGTTGAATTCTGCTGACAGCTGTACCTACAGCTGTACTGACAGAAATGCTAATGTGACTAGCGAGCATGCTACAGTGAGCAGCTAGCAAAAGTGTGAACGTATAACTGTGTGCGGGGTTTAGCAGGAGACCCATGATAGTCACAGGTGTGAAAAGCGGTGTGTCTAGGCTGTGCACTTATGTTTGGATCATCGAAACGCATGATAATACCAGGTCTAAGGCACGGAGAAATTAGATGTATATCAGGCTTTGCCTACACGATACTTGTTAGTTCATATCTTTCCGTGGGAAAACACAATTAAATTACATCAAATTCAATCTTGAAAAGTGAAACATCAGAATGAACATTTGACTGTGTTTGTGTGTACAACTCACCTGCAGCAAACTCGCGGATGTCCGCAGGCCTTTTAAGAAGCACCTCTCTGTGAGAGGACAGGAAATGCATACAGTAACTGCACAACTACAGTGTAAAGTCTATCAAGGAGACTGTGCCCTTTGAGTACTTTAAAACTAAAAGCTCACATAAAAACATGATCAACTGCTGATAATCCTAAAACACACTCATTGTCTGAGGGAGACGGTGAAAATGTGACACTACAGAGAATTTGCATGAAGGCTTGACGCACATCAACCCAAAAGCAGCTCAGACTTCAGCTGAAGTTAATTTATTTGTGAATGAATACATGACAGATTTTATCAAACTCAAGGATGGCTGGCACCACCCAACATATAAAGCATGTTTATGTTATAAGCTGTGTATAATAAAATAGGTCACATTCAGGGCAGCTTAGAAGAAGTATGGAAATTAATCTCAAAACAAGTAATGGCAGTGTTAACTTGCATCTGCACCAGGGGATGCCAAAGTGTCAAATACAGTATATGGCCCAGGGACCAGAACCGGCCCACCAAAGGGTCCAATCCGGCCCACTGGATGACCTTGCACACCTAATACTGATGCACTTGTGAAGGCTAAGGTGCAGGGTTTTAGGAGCAAGTTAAACACTGAGTAGCTTTCTTCATGTAAACTGCTGCTTCAGAGGCTTTTCACCCCGACCAGAATACAGTTCTTTTTCTTCACTTTAGTTTGGTGCGGTGATGTCAGGATTATTACACAGGAGTGGAAATGTGCAGAAAAATGCACATGAAATGACAGTGAGTAGTAGCCTGTGGAAAAACTGAGAAATATTGTTGAAATTGCATTTAGTCCTCTGGAGACACTACAGGCTGTTTGTCATCTGTTATGTAAATGGATTGGCGTTTTAAAATTTGGAGGTGTTCAGACTGTATGTGGCCCGTGTACTAAAATGACTTACACCCCTGATGTGCACTCATGAATATTCTGCCTGAAGATACATGTTAAACTCACAAGTCAACATATTTGTATTGACTTTTATTCAATTAGGCTTTACATTATACAGTTTTTTTAAAGTACAAAACTGTTCTGGACTTGTTTTATTTCGGATTTAAGATGCTGACATGTCTAACGTTATTTAACACGTTTGTAATTTACTATAGGGGTTACTATATTATATTATATTATATTATATTATATTATAATGTTTGAGCTTTTACATCCATAATGAGAGAACTAACTTAACGCTACTTCTGCATGACATGAGCATGTTTAATTTCACCTAGTCCCAGTCTCTAGCATGATAAGTAAACCACCGGAAACGTGAGCAAAGTAAGCTAACAGATTTTCTTTCTTAAACGTGAGAAAATGAGCAGACTAACCTGAGAAAGTCGCCTATCAGTACCTCTACCTCTGGATGGGATCTCAAATACTTCTCATTGTCGATTCTCGTCTTAATCTGTGAACCAAAAGAAAGTGTATGTCAGGCTTGCTAATCAACAGCACACCGCTCAAGCTGCGGCTAATTTTGGCTAGCTAACGTAGCGTTAGCATTTTAGCATCCTAAGATTCACTCGGTGTTACCTTGAAATGTCGCAGTTTCTCCTGCTGCTCAGGACTTAATACACCAACGTCCAGCTTCGACAGACCGCCTGTTCCTGCCATAACTTCTTTACAAGCGTTTGTGGTATTATTTACTTCAGTGTTCACTCAGTAGCCGTCTAAAGTTGGTAAATGTTTGAAGCTAGGGCAGCTACGGGCACCTGTCACTGACACAGCTGCAACTAATGTTGCTATGGAAACGACCTCCAGCAATTAACGGCTCGTCCGCGGGGTGGCAGCACGAGACTGGATTTAAAAGTTCACGGTACTATAATATAATATAATATAATATAATATAATATAATATTGGCAAGGCAGCTTTATTTGTACAGCACATTTCATACACCAGGGCAATGCAAAGTGCTTTACAGAGCAATAAAATATACAACATAACAGAGGATACAGAAAAGAGAAAATATATATATATATAAAAGGTTAATTAATGATTTACAATAAAAAAAAATCATGATTAAAAATAGCAAAAGCGCAGACCAGAGGTGCAAAGATAAAAAAAGATTATTTAAAATGATTTAAAATTGAGTTTAAACATTAGTTTGCAGTCATTTACAGGGTGTAAAGGGAATGTCTTCAGCTTTGATTTAAAAGAGGTCAGATTCAGGGCTTGTCTAACATCATCTGGGAGGTTATTCCAGGTTTGTGCTTCATGATAACAAAATGCTGCTTCACCATGTTTTGTTCTGACTCTTAGGACGGTCAATAGGCCGCCCCAGCTGTCCTCAGGGTCCTAGAAGGTTCATATGTCACAAGCATGTCAGAGATATATTTAAGCGCTGAGCCACATGATTATGACTACTCCACATATGATCACAAAAACCCTATCTGAGAAGGTTTTGCTTGATAAATCCCCTTCTGCAGGCTGGTTAATTGAGGAACTATTTAAATGTAGATTAAATGTTTGAAAACAAATTTAAAAGATCCTTTTAACTTCTGTCTTTTAGCATAGGTGCAGATTTGAGGGGATGCAGGGGACACATCCTCCTCCATATTTAAAACGTGTATTTGTTCTCCCTCTGATAATAAACATAAATGTAGCAGAGAGCATTTATTTTGATAAAACTAGAGGCATATTCACCATAAATTGATGAAGAAAAGGCACAAATTGATGCATAAAATTCACTAGAATGCAGGCAAATAGGTTTTTGACACTCAAAATTTCATATGTTTAATATGTGTTCCCCACAGTGTTGAAACGAACACGACCCCCTTGTCTTTTCGTAACCCAGCATGGCTAGACTAAGCTGCTAGGGAGCACTGGGGCAAAAAATGAGCTGCCAGGCCTATATGAAGTCCCACTGTCTGTGCAATGTACAGTTTGTCCATGCTTTCTTTGCTAGACTATTACGTGGCCCTGGATTTGCTGAGCGGTAGTTAGATTTTCGGAATACGCAACATAATAACACAAAGCTAAAGGGTCCAATCTGGCCCACTTGATGACTTACCTAACATCGATGCACTTGTGAATGCTAAGAGGTGCCATGTTTCAGGAGCCAGTCATGTAAAATGTTGCTTCAGAGGCTTTTCCACTCTGACCAGACTACAGTTATCAGAAATAAAACAATGAATACGTACTGTGGTCATATTTAAAGAAAAGTAACATTGTGCAAAATATTATCAATCAGTAGCACAAAAGAATCTAGATCAGCCTTCTATCTTAAAACAGTATAGTTTTAATTCTTAAGACTCTTTTTAAGACAGGGGTAACTTGACCTGCCTCCTCAATAGCTTTAGTTTGGTGTGGTGATGCCAGCGTTACTACACAGGAGTGGAAATGTATGGAAAAATGCACATACAGTGACTGAATGTGGAAAAAACGAGACTGTTGAAATTGCACTTATGTTTCTTGAGACACCTCGAGCTGCTCATCATCTGGATGAATGTTTTCAAAATGTACTTGTGCTTCTTTACACTAAAAGAAAGAGAAAATTTGGAGGTGTTGTTATTCATAGGCTAATATGCGATGGTTTTACTGGTATGCTCACTTGAGATGACGCCCCTTTGACGCCCCTGTTTTAGAAGTATTACCAACTGAATGTGCTCTAGTGATACAGTAAATAGGCAATTCCTAAACAAGTACTGGAGTTCTGGGGCCTGAAGGAAGCTGCCATAATCCAGACTTTCACACAGAAATTCTTAAAAAAAGATGATCAACGCAGCTTAATTAGTATAAGAGGCAAGAAAACAGATGAACAGCTAATGCTTTTGACAGCAACCTTTGCCACTTCAGTTTCAAACCTTGTGAAGCATATGTAGAAACTGAAATGGCAGAATGCAAATGATATATTTGATAAAATTATGTACAAACAGAGCATGAGGTGATATGCTAGATGCAGGTTTACAATGAGGCCTACGTCTAGTCTACAGTTTATCAAGGCACTTTAAATTAGCACAGCCATGAGACAGAGGAGCTGCTCTTAAGACACATACAACAACAAAAAGTCTTTGAGAGGTATTTTAGGCATGAGAGATAAAAAGAGAGACTGTACAAGCTATTCCTGAGTTTGCTTCCAGCAGAAGCTCACTGGAGAACCATTACAATTTTAAGTTCATTATCCTTTTGCTGTCTGTAACACTGGCTGTGGTTAGTTTTATTCCCCTCTCTGCCTGCTCATCACTCCCTGCGAAGAAAGAAATAGCTTGTGTTGCTGAAGTGCGTGGCTTCTGTCCTCTTCTTCGCCCGCTGATCGTCTTCTTCTCCATTTTCTTCTTCATTTTCTTCCTCCTCTTCTGCCACTTGGCTCGGTGGGGGTCTCTTGTAAGAACGAGGTGCTAAGGTCACCAAGGCCTGCCCTTCTGGAAGCGTTGGGGCGGAGGGTGCTGGCTGAGGTGGGTCATTGCACCGATTGATGACACTCAGACTCTGGAGTTTAGGCATGAATCTGTCCTTGTGTCTAAAATGAAAAAACAAGGAATGAAAAAATCAAATTGATGACATAGATCCACTCATGTTATGTATCCATGTTTGTCGCACAGCAGAAAACACCATTTTCTACATTTATATATTCGCTACCTGAATAAGTAGGCAGCCAAAATGACCAACAAGAGAGCAAATGAACCGCAGATCCATGGGATCACGTGATGTGACGCCTCCATTCCACTATACACCGGCTCAGGAACTGCAGTAAAGACAGGGGAGACTGTGAGAGATCCTAATGGAGCTGAGTAACATCGATGCAAGTTAATGTTTTGGTGAAACTGAATGTGTGTGCATGCATGAAGATAGGTGTGTTGAGCCATGTTTCCTGTGGCTTGTTTCGTTGTTGAACCTCAGCTATTATGACATGGCTTCCTGTTGAAACCCAGTGGGACAGAGGGGGTTTTCGACACAAACAACATTTAAGAGTTCCCTCTGTCCCCTCTTATCCCCCCTCTTCTCTTTATCTTACACACAGACACCTCATTAACCAAAATATTTTACTGTCTGCTGACGATCTTACCATCAGACATACAGTCTCCTGAAGACCCAGAGCCTTCCGTGTATACTGGAAACTGAAGGTTAGAGAAGGGAACACAAGAGACGGTGTGAGATACTGGAGGCCAGAGAACAACGAACACACACAGCACAAGTTTTAACGATTTTCTCATTGAGACTCTTACCGTGGTGGAAGCGAGGTCATCGACTGTCCCTTTAACTGCTGAGAGAAACATGCACACAGATGACATTCAAATCTTTGACAGAATGGAAACTCTTGCCACAGACATTTAAATGTATGGAAAGTAAAAACATAATGTAGTTAGTGTGCTATTTAATTAATAAAGTTGGCAACCAGAAAAAAATTCTGCTACACAATTTTTTTTTCTTTTACAAGGAAAAAAGATCAGATCTTTGGTTGTATATGTCTTTTAAATAGTCAAGTATTGTTTAAAAAATAAAATAAAAAAAGGAAGAAGATTCATTCATTACGTGAAACACAGAGCGATGTGAGATAAGATACCCAGAAAAAAAATTAATTTCAATATATTTAACTATTAAAAAACGTGTGTATATATTTTAATTTATTTTTTCTGGGTATCTTATCTCATGCCACTTGTTATTTTTTCATTATTGTCCGTTTGTTTCACCTGTCATGCCTTTATAAGGGTCATGTGATGGCCTCTGATTGGTTCCTGCCACTATATAGGTGGGGCCATACCTGTGTTGTATGTTTTGGAAGCCCTGAGGAAGACCTGCAGTGGTTGAAACATGTTGGCTCTTTTAATGATTTAGCCACTATAATAAAGGCTTTTTAATATTACTTTAGTCTTTTTTCTGTATTTTTTCCAAAGTGCCTGGATTGCCTTCCTGTTGAGTTATTTTATTGGTCACTGTCATATATGTAAAGCCACATTATTCCCTCATCTAAAAGTAATTCACTAAAAAGTCATTGAAAATTAATAAGGCAGCAATAATAATAGATATGGGGGGAGGGGTGACGACACATCTCTCCAATATATTGATTAAAAACTGTAAATTAAAAAAATGCTATGCTCTGACAGGTAACCATGCACCATCATCCAAAAATAATCATTCTCAAATGCAATTATAATCATAAATAAACTTAACAAACTGACATTATCATTACTGCTGGTTCTGATATTACAGTGTACTGATGCTCTGCGTGTAGTTTGTGTAAAAGCAAAAGCAAAAGCAAAAGCAGTTGTGCGACTGCTGTGGCTTCAATCAGTGTCAAACACTGTACTGTCTCTGTTTCTTTCCTTTCAAATGTATTAAAACGTGGAGAATCAGGATGTAATATGAGTGTAAGGGTTATATTACTGTTGACTGTTATGGTATTTGTAAAGTGTCACTATTTCATTTTAAAAAAGTCATAAAATTATCATATTATGTCATAAAAAAGTCATTGAAAATGTCATAGTGTGCTCTATAAACTGTTCTAAAATGGTCTGTTTAGTTGTTAAAAAATTATCCTACAGAGGATTCTCCCCAAACCAATCAATGTTAAATAGATGATTACGGCCCTGGGAATTTGATATGTACAGGATATTTTTGGAATAAAAAAAATGTCTGGCTCAGTGTTTGTTTTTATTTTGATGACATATCATAGAAGGGGGGGGGACGGGAAATGAGAAGAACAACATGTAAAAACAACAAAACATCTAACTTACCAGAAAGTGAATTTACTGAACAGTTTAACATACCAAACGGATATAAAGGATTTCAAGTTGAAAGGCAGTGTTTAAGAGTTCAGAGAAATACGTTAGAAAAATACCTAGATAAAACATTTCCTTATAAGAAGTTTCACTTTCATGCCAGTATTTGCATGAACAAGTGTCACTTTCATTTTATCTGGGGTATTCCATTTTGCAAACAACATCAGGATGCATTTGTTAACTTTCTCTAAATATTTTTAACTCCATGAACATGTTTCCAGGAGAATAATGCATACATGCTCTGCACAATGAGCAAACATATTTAGAGTGGAAGAAAAACACAAGTGGAAGGAGTACCTACTTATTGGGGGGTGTTTATATAAACAGCTTGTTTGGAAAACCCAGGGAAGGAAACAGAACACCCTCCTCCAGGTTGTCATAACTACTTTTGTCTGTGTCCAGGGTGGATCACGTGCTACGAAGGCGATAAAGGTCAGTGATTTACAGGCCCACTTAATTTACAGTACCTCATGTCTCTAAAACCATAAGGTACTTTTCCTGGCTGTTGGCCCCTGAGCAAGAAGAAATACTTATTTGAAGTTCTGCTAACGATAGCATCAGCTAAATGCGTGACCAGATTTTGAAATGGCTTGATTTGATACTTTACACGTGTGTATTTGTGTGTGTGCGTGTGTTTACCTGTCCAACTGCTGGCATGGACCGGTTCACTCCACTCACTCCACTGACCATCATATTCTTCTCTCGCTCTGACCTGTATCCTGTACTCCACACCAGCTAGTGCATCAGTGATAGTGTGGGAACGCTGGTGCCTGATCTTATGTGTCTGCAGAGACACATAAAGATAGACAACCACATAAATAAAGCATCCTGTGCACACTTCTAAAGCTGCCAAATTATTCATTCATTCATTCATTTTCCGTAACCTCTTATCCTGATAGGGTTTGCAGAGGGCGCTGGAGCCTATCCCAGCTGACACTGGGCGAGAGACGGGGACACCCTGGACAGGTCGCCAGGCTATCACAGGGCTGACACATAGAGACAGACAACCATTCACACTCACATTCAGAGTCACCAGTTAACCTAATCTACATGTATTTGGACTGTTGGAGGAAGCTGGAGTACCCAGAGAAAACCAACACTGATGAACACTCTTGCTGTGAGGCAACAATGCTAACCACTGCACCACGTGCCACCAAATTATCCCCATTTCATTTTTGAGAGATTTTTTGGCAGTCTCTGGAACATGTAAATAATAAAAAAAATATATCATACATCACTGTACCTAATTTTTTTGGTGATCTGCCTATGACATAATGTTAAAATGCTGCATCTTAAATCATTTCCTTAATGTTTCATTTTATTTTGTTTTTAACAATATGTGGAATCTAGGATGTCTGACTTGGTTTAAAAAGAAAATTCAGTCAGTGGAACATGGAGCCAAAAAAGCTCTCTTTCCGCAGTAAGAAATTACCGAGATGATCGACAATGCCTCCACATCATTGAGCCCAGAGAGCAAGTGCACAAGAGACATTTGACGGCCAGACTTAAGATAAAATGATTTTGTCTTTCTGGACAACCAAATGGAATAAATCCTGATGGTGCAATGTGTTATTTTGTGAAGGTTGTTAAGCTAAAATAATTCATCCACTGATTTACAAATGTCGCCTTCCCAATGCAAGTCTATGGGAAATAGTCTTGTTGGGCCCCATGGCATCATGTGATGGATTTGGGAGTTGTAATTCCACTATTTGGCCACTTCAAATAAAGGCTTCAAAGCCCGGCGTATTTTTGCATCCAGAAGAGACTATATTTGAATGAGAGGGTGGGGCTAACTCTAATGCTAGCTGCTAGCTTGATTAGAACAGTGTATTTACATCTATGGCTAACTGTGATAATGCAAATGCTAATCTTTTGCTAACAAAAAACAGGCTTTAAACCATTAAATCAAAATAGAATTACTGGAGAAACTGAACATCTGACATCTGATCAGTGATTCCCAACTGGTGGGTCGTGGTCCAAAAGTGAGTCAGTTGTCCATTCTTAATGGACTGCAAGTGCACACACTTTATTTTGCGTACAGAGAATTTCCGGCAACAGACAGCTACTTGACAGAGATCACAAACTAGCACGACAACATGGCCAAACGCAAGTGTGACACTGAATGTGTTAAACTGTGTGGACCTTGAACTAATGACCAAGGAGAAATGTGGACCCCATTGGTGTACGAGTGGGGAACCACTGCCTTAGAGTGGCTTTCAATACAACCAAACAAGATGTTTTTAGGCAACCAAAATGTTACAATTAACTTTCATGAACTGAAAACACACAGAAATAGCGACAACTATGACCACGCCTATACTCTGTGAAGCTGGGGTTACAGCATGGTAGTGTTACCTAGTCAATGTTGTTACCTTGGCAGCAACTTGTCAAGTGATGGCACCCACCTGTCACTCAAAATGTCCACACTCTTAATCATGCATAACTTTAATAGTAGCTACATTTCAGTCATAATAAAATGTAAACTGATGAGTCAGATAAAACTTCACTTCCTGTACAATTGTCATAAGCTGTAGAGAGCAAAACTGTTTTTGTACCAGGCTGTAAACGTGTTTATTTCTGCTGTAAAGTTGGGCATTTTCACTTTGTTTGTGGGAACTGACTCGCACTTGGAGCCAGCCTCAAGTGGCCATTTGAAAAACTGTAGTTTTTGGCACTTCCATGTTGGCTTCCTTTTTTGTTGCTTAGTCTCTGCACACATTGCACTGTCATCAGCTGATTGTTTGTTTGTTTTAGGCCAGAATAGCCAACAATGCACTGATCCACTGAGCTGTGAAAAGTAAACACACACCGAGAGTGCACGCTCCAAAACTCTTTTTGTCTACCAGCACGCACCTGCTCATGATCAAACAAGGAGTGGACAGGTTGGTATTTGATCTCATAGAGTAGTGCATAATAGCTGTCTTGAGACTTCCAGGAGACTGGCAAACCCCAGGTGGCGATCATTCTCCTTTCGTGTCCCTCCTCCTGTCGGACTGACAAATGTGCTGGAGGGTTGGGCTTCACTGAGGGGGCAGAAAGGAACATAGAGAGTGCTATCATGAGCTTTACATCAGACCAAATACCTGCGTGACACTGGCACACCTGCCTCAACACACAAACTTACAAATTCTCAGAGGTGTGAAGCTTTGCGGGCTGCTGGTGGCGTTGCCGGTGATGCTCGTAACACACAGGAAGGCTGTGTGAACAGTTCTCAGCTCGTCGTCATTGTGATCCAGAGCACACCAGCAGCGGGAGAGGCGAGATGAGAATGAGCACGGAATGCGAAGAAATGGCTGTTTCGGGCTGAGAGAAGGAACAACGAAAAAGAAGAAAGATAAGTGTCACTCACACAAAGAAGCAGGCACGTGCACAGATAGACCCCTGATGGTGCTCAAGCCTCTGCACTTTTGGTCTCTGACCAGATAAGACAGTTTTTTCTATTTCTTTTTCTAATCTTGTTATTTTAAATTTGGTCCATGGCATCAATTCTCAATTAAAAGTGTGTTTTAATGCCTGATAACTGCATTTGAGCACTAACTGATGTACTTTGATGCCCATACTTTTGTGCTTTTATTCTGAGTACTTCTTTTACCACTGGTAGGAGGGATAAACTATGACAAAGAGTTGTACATATTATATATAATTCTTTAATATAGTATTGGGACCTGCTAACACACCTAATGTGATTGACAGGTCAGTTTATACAGAGACTAACAAGAAACAACATCTAAACCATATATAATGGCTAAGTCCTACACTGTAGCCACTACTGGCTGCTAATGCTAACTCGGCCACGTTAATTGTTTTGACGTGCACTCAAAGAAAGCGATGCAAGTCCTCCTTTAGAACTTAGAATAATCCGGCAATTTATTTTCCACAAAAGTTTCGTAAAGTCCGTACAACGGGCAATAATCCAACAACATAAAAATAATAACACGGATTACTTATCACAAAGCACAGTGAGTGCAGTCGAAAACTATTTCCTTCCCCCAAATTAGCATGGCAACCCCTGTACATTGTTTGAACCATAGATATATATGATCATTAGATGACTCATTCCTGTGGCTACTGTGCGTCAACGTCGCCGCCATCTTGGGGAGGTCACGGCCGGCTGGCTAGTACTGTTGTGTATGGAGATAAGTCTGTACTGTTGGCTTTTTCTGCTTTGCTGTAATTATTTGGACTGGCACCCAATTACACTTTCAGACTTTTGACTGAGTACGACAAGTATGCTGAAGACTTATCTCCATACACAGTACTAGCCAGCCGGCCATGACCTCTCCAAGATGGTGGCAACATTGACGCATCGCTGAAACCGAAGCCGTATCTATGGTTTGAACCAGGTTAAATGGCCTGAGTTGACCCCAACTCAGCGGCAGCCGCTGCAACACCAAATACAGCCCCCTAGTGGTACGGAGGAACCATTTCAATGAGTAAATAATAAATAAATTAAATATGGCTCATACACCATAGCTTGTAATGCTGCTAAAGGTTACATCCTCCTGTAGCTTTAAAACATAACATGACATCTTATAATGTGGAATTATTATTATTCACTGTCTTCATTCACGTTTAAGTTCTTCATTGGGGAGTTAGTGTTAGTATATGTCCTTACCTTTTACTGAGTAAGAGGTGACAGTGAGTTTGTACAGTGATGGGCTTCTGAGACGTCCACTCACAGCGGATCTTACTGCTGGGTGACCTTTTGTAGCAGGACAGAGTGGGGGTCTCTGGATGATCTAACATGAATAAAAGACATGCTGTGATACTGAACATTCATAATAATAATTCATAATTCAGTCAGTCATTGTCTCACCTAAATACATAAACAGTGATGTTGTTCACACTCGCATTGACTTTTAATTTTAGATTAAACTGTAAATAAGATTTTTAGATTAGTTGTTTAAAAAAAAAGAAAGAAAAATTTTATAATATTTGGTTTGTCCAACCATCAACCCAAAACCAAGAGATATTTCATCAGTAATGTCAAACAGAGAAAAGCAGCAGATCAAACAGGATGACAGTCTCCAGTGGTGAAGTGTTGCTGTGGTGAAGTACATTTACTATACAGTCCTGAGGTGCTTGTACTTTACTTGGGCATCTAAATAACAATTTAAGCTAGTTTATACTTTTACTTCATCACATTTTATTGAAATAACTGAAGTGCACATTGACACATTTTTTTGCTTTACCATAACGAAGTAATTGTTGATTGAGCAATGTAGTGGCCATAAAATAATGACTGGTTCTCTATGAGTCACCTTCTTTGTCTCTCGAACTCAGTCCACACTCATTTCAAACGTTAAAACTAGGAAGTGCTCATGAAAAATACATTTTAAAGATTCTGTTACTGTATTGTCTATTTGTCACCTAAAATGTCCTCATAAACATATGTTAGTGCACTGTTTGGCTGCAATACGAGAATTTGTGAACAGGAAGTTGGTGCCATACTGTTTCCTGTGTTCTAAAAAATTAAATAATTGAGATCAAGCGGTAAGACTAAGCAGTGCTGATCAAATATGCACCAAGATTCTGTCACTGCGTTACATGTTAGTTGCCAAAAATGTTTTCAGAAACATATTTTCACTTACCATTTACAGTATCCACTGATTTATCTGAACTGTATAACCGTTCAGTGATCAGGAAAGCACCATTCTCACCCACTATCTATCTATCTATCTATCTATCTATGAAAGTTGTGCAGTGGAGCCAAAACCATTCAACTGCACGCTTCTGCATGAGTGGGCCCCTAGAGCAGGTGCACTTGAGACTTCCCCTGGTCGAGCTGGCTACTTCTGGTTTAGCACTCTGCTAACTTGAATGGGTATAAAATAATTTATTCTTGTGGCTCTTCTAGACTTTTGTAATGTTTTTGGACTGAATGGATCAAATCCTGACACTGAAACGAGTAATTTTGTGGGGGCTGTGACACTTGAAAAAATGTATCCACTGATTTACAATGTAAGTCTATGGGAAAAAGTCTTTTTGGGCCCCATGGCATCACGTGACGGACCTGGACTTTTAATTCCACTGTTTGGCCGCTATTAGTCTGAGTGGGTGGAAGTTTGCTGCATAGATCAGCCTCTCATTGGGTGGAATGAGCCACCCGCTGAAGTCCCACCCTACCACCTTCGGTTGTGTAGCAGTTTTCAAGCGCACCGTTGCTGTGGCACCACCAAGGACGATTGTGATTGGTTGAAAGAAATAAAAAAAAGCCAGGGCGTTTTTTTTTCTCCAATCTTAAAGAAAGGTCTTGAGAAAGGTCTGGTGAGCGAGACTAGGCCACTATGAAAATTGGCTTTAAAGCCCAGCGCACTTCCTGGAAGGCAAGAACAGCCTAGCTCACATTACGTCACCCACCAGTGAGAGCGTTTATTGGTCTGGTGCGATGCAGTGCATTCTGGTAGTTGTAATTTTTCCACCTCTGGATTAAAAGCAAATGCAAAAGCCCTTTACCTCAGTTTTCTCTGGTCACGTAGCACCTTTCTTTAAGAGTGTTTGTGTCTTCCTATTGTATGGACAGCCCAGTTTTTTGGATAGACCATTTTTCCAGCAGTGAAATACTTTGCAACGTCTTCCTCACTCTGTCTTTTAAATGGAAAACCATTGCTAACGTGTAACCTTTTTTCCCAAATTAATTCATGTTCAGACAAATATCCAAATCAAATTGACATTTATAACTTCAGTCATCTGTTGCTACTGCAGCTTACCTGAAACATGTACTTTTAAGGAGAACCTCTCTCTGTCTCTGTGATAACACGTGTACCTCCCGGCGTCTATCAGTCTCACTGAGGACAGAGACAGTGACGCCCCTCTCCTCTCTAATGTGACTTCACCCCAGTCTCTGTCTCCTTTTCCCACTGTCATCCTGTTCCACTTCCACTGTAGCCTTGACTTTACGCCCCGTGTTACTCTGCTCCCTTCCTCGCTTTCCTCCTCTTCCTCATAATCGTCCTCTCCGGCCATGTCTTCAGATTCACCCATTCGCAGTCTGGTCACACTGGTTGGCCGGACCGCGTGAGTTGTAGGGGGAGCTGTGTATCCTGTGTCTGTTTGTCCGAGGCTTGTGTTCTCTCCTGCCTCAGTGGGGTGAGAGTGGTACCCCTCATTTACAGCATTCCCCCCAGTGTGTTTGTCACTGTTTAATAAAACTCCAGTGCTGCTTCTGATGTTTGCAGTGGTTGTTGGGACTGCATCTGCAGAACTCCCTTGTCTGTTGGTGTTTAAGCCATTTCTGCCCCAGCTGACCTTTACTCCATCCACCTCCACATGACCACTGCAGGTTAAAACCAGCTTACTGCCTGGAGATAGGACCAACACACCAGGGGGAGGGTCTGTGCAAAACAACAAGCAACAAAAAAACATGATTTAAGGAACTAATATAAACCAATGTGTGTCAGTCTTGAATTGATGTTAAATCAAGATGTGTTTATGGCACAATCATACAGTATTTTACACAAACGAAAGCTTCTTTTTTCCTGAGTATTGGTTGCGATCGACTAGTCACAGCACAGATAGGATGCAACGTTGCATAACCGAAATGACCAACTCCTTTTGAACTTCCTCTTTTAATAGGTTCTCGTCTTTCTGGTTTCTTTTTCTGTCCTTAATAATGCCATCTCTGTCCTCTCACACTCATTTACATTTCTGACATCCCCTAATCATGCAGATTTCGTGATTGCACTCAAAACCCACACAGTGTACAATGACTTGGGTAATGCCTTCGCTGTATTTGTTTTCAGGCTCCTGTTTGGACACGGCTCGATGTCAGAGGTCCAGTGCCCTTGTGCAAACGCACTTTACTCTCCTGATCTCCAACTTTCCCAGTTCCCTGTCTTTTATCTGCCCAGACATGGAAGATAAAGGCTCTGCAGTGGAGACAGGGCACAAATGCACATATAGTGTGTGTGACTTAGTTTTATGGCATTAGGCTACCAGAGATAATAATAATAATATCTTTATTAGACCCAGACGTGCTTTAAAAGTGATCAGTAAAATCTTAAAATCAATTCTGAAACGAACAGGGAGCCAATGGAGAGAAGCCAGAATCGGAGTGATGTGATGTTGTCTGTTAAAACCAGTAAGAAGCCTAGTTGCTGCGTTCTGAACTAGTTGGAGGCGAGAGAGGGATTTTTGGGTTATGCCAGAAAGGAGGGAGTTGCAGTGGTCTAATCTGGAGAAAATTAAAGTGTGGATGATTTTTTCAAGGTCAGAATGGTAGAGCATTGGCTTAATTCTAGAAGTGGTTCTAATTTGGATGAAGCAGGACTGTACAACTTTTTTAATGTGTGGTTTGAAACTTAGATCTGAATTGAACAGTACTCCTAGATTTCTGGCAGTGGGCTTCATGTAGGTGGATAGGGGACCAAGACTGATGGGGTATTTTGGGTTCGGGGGACTGAACAGTATGATTTCTGTTTTTGAATTGTTGAGTTGAAGGAAATTTTGTGTCATCCCACAGTTGACATCACTGAGGCAATCTTCAGCAGCAGCTAGGCTTCTTGGGTCACTGGGTCTCAGGGGATGGTATATCTGTGTGTCGTCTGCATAGCAATGAAAAGAAACGTTGTGTTGTTGAATGATTTGGCCAAGTGGAAGCATATAGATGGAAAATAAAACTGGACCTAAAATCGAACCTTGATGGGACCATACAGCCAGTGTAATGCCATTTTACCAACAGATACAATTTACATTAATTTCTGTCCTGTCTTATAATTAACTCATGGAAAAATATCTAACTTTCTCTTCCCAGATTAGCTCGGGGGAAGGTGTTAATTATTTTCAAGTTGAAACCCTCAAGTTCAAGTAAGGTCACAAGTCACTGGTGTTTAAGTCCAAGTCGAGCTGCAGGGCTTTTTTGATTTTGTTACCTAAAGCAATCAAATTAGTGACTTAATTCTGACTCAAGTCTACACTTCTGTTTCCTACTTATTTTAAAATTTAACTCGCCTGACAATGTGCATAAATAATTTGGATAACTAGTACACAATCTGTGGCATCAAAGTCAAAAGAGTTTCAAAGATAAATATCTCCCTCCAGCAGTTTGTGTCCAGTACAACAAACACAACCAAGGTTAAGAACACATTTATAGTAGATGCTGATTGGTGGGTGAAGGCTGGCACTGTGTACAAATGGAGTATTTATTTGTACATTCTGCTGATAAAATAATAAAATAAAAAAAGTAATGATAATTCAGGGGGAACAAAATTAAAGGCTAAAGAAGCAGGAGACCTAACTTTGAATTTATATGATTAGAGATTATTATTGTGTAAAGATTATAGTTTTTTGGGTGACAGTTTGAAAAACATTTTTCTGAGCTTCAGCAAAGCTTTACAAAACAACTGTTTCGATGTGATACCACAAAAAATGAGCATGCAGATCATTTAAAGCAAGTTTCTCCTGTTTTAAAGTAAAAAAAAAAAACATACTCCAGATATGAAATGTGATCCGTGAGACGCACAGAAATATAACACCTTTAGACAAGCTTTGATTTGCATCGTGCTCAAACTGCAATCAGAGTAGATGCTTCTTTTATATTTGCTGTGATTTATCTCAGGATCATGTGGTCAGCGCCTCAAAGTGACCAAAACACTCGCTTTAAAACTTTAAATCTGAGCTGCCAACATTTACTTTTCACAACATTATCTACAGTGCGTTCTGGCATGCTGTCGGCCTGTCCTGGTATTTTCAGAAACAGACAAAGCAGGCTTACATGGCAGGATAAATGATAATAATTCAGGTACCTTTTCTGGGACAGGTTCCGTCGAATATGCCGCGGACCGGCGCTGCACAGAGAACCCACAGCAAAGGGAGAAAGATCCGCATTTTTGCGCATGAGTCCCCCCTCACCGAGTCCTCACACCATCACTTGCGTCCTGACAACATCAGTTGGAGATTGTTGTGGCTCCCATGAAACTTCTCACACGAACAACAAACGTCAGTCCTCCTGTCAGAAGCTCAGCTTGGCTTCCTCTGGTAGGAGCAGGCTCTCTGCGTATAGACCCGTTATTGCGAAATCCCAGCCCTCTTCCCCTTGTTCAGCCCGTTACACAGAGGAAATCCTCCTCAGCGTCACATTTTAACCCCAATGAAAGCTGAAAATAGGCCTGCTATTATAATAATTATTTTTGAATACTGAGGAAGTGTTGTCACGGCCTGCTGATGTTACTGTCTCTAACTGCATTATTCTGATTCTTCTTCTTCTTTTTTTTTTTAAACCATACACGGTGCACTTTATTTTAATTATGCAGCCTATTTTAACTGTGGGTGTGCAGCGCTTGTTAATGTGAGCTGTATTTTTATTTTGTCCCAAAGTTAAAAAGAAATCATATAGCTCTTTCACTTTCTGTTCATATTTTCACCTTGGCCAATAGAAAGTAATGGAGCACCATGATAAACTGAAGGACTGGAGGGTATTTATGCAATGATGGATGGATGGCTAAATAGGCCTACCGGACCCTTTGGCCCCAGGGTCCAAAGTGTCAGGGGCACACCCTACTTCACCTTCACCTGCAAAATGTGACTCAAATTAACAAGGAGGAGACTCAAAAGGACCACAAAGAGATGCATGGAACCACATGGACACAAAATGACCAAAAAGGCATAATATTATCTAAAAAAAACACAAAATTACTTCAATGAGACGCAAACTGACTTAAGACGACACAAGATGACCTTCAAGAAACACAAAATGACCTCAAAGAGACATAATTACCTAGAAAAAACACAAAACTATACCCCAAGAGACACAGAATGACCAAATAAGGCACAAAACTACCCCCCCAAAAAATACAAAAGGACTTAAAAGAGATGTAAACTGACTTAGAATGACACACAACTAGCTTTAAGAAACACAAAATGACCTTTAAGAAACACAAAATGACCAAAAAAGCACAAAATTACCTAACCCCCCCACTAAACTACCCCAAGAGACACAAAATGACCAAATAAGACACAAAACCAACTAAAAAAATACAAAATGACATGAAAGAGATCTAAACTGACTTAGAACGACACAAAATGACCAAAAAAGCACAAAATTACCTAACCCCCCCACTAAACTACCCCAAGAGACACAAAATGACCAAATAAGACACAAAACCAACTAAAAAAATACAAAATGACATGAAAGAGATCTAAACTGACTTAGAACGACACAAAATGACCAAAAAAGCACAAAATTACCTAACCCCCCC